CGGTATTTTCTATCTTGTTTTTACAAAGTGCGACATCAAATTATACAAAAGAATATCAATTTCTTTATATCTTTATGCCAATATAATTTATAATTCACATGCTTTCCGTCCGCAGCTTCTCCCTCGTGGAGTTCGGTTATATCGCGTTTCCAAGAGAACCTTTCAAAAGTCTGTGATAAAAACTATCCTATGTTTTTTCTCAAGGTCAACTCTATCTCTGTACCAAATTTCATTAAAATCAGTTCAGTGGTTTAGGCCTGAAAGCGTAACAGACAGACAGACAGAGTTACTTTCGCATTTATAATTTAAGTTCAATATGTTTTCTTTTAAATAGTTATTTAAACATTCAATTTACAAGTATAGTCGAGTAAGGGAAAGATTGCTCAATCAGTAAAAGGTCTCGCTCGATGTAACGAGGTCGTGAGTTCGAGTCCAGGTTGTGTCACTAAAAATTCATCATATATTTTTTATTTTAAGAATAAGTCGAGTATAAACTCAACCTTCCTTTAATGTTAAACACATCTGTATATAAAAGTGGTTAAGCAACAAGAAAATAAGACTTATTATTATTTATAAAGATTAATGTCAGATCAGTGAGTTTACAAAGTTATTTCCATACATTATACAGATACAGAACCTTTATTTAGTTTGCTTGTTGAATAACATTCAAAAATTTTAATTTCCGGACGTAATGCTACATACATCATTGTGTGTGTGTGTGTGTGTGTGTGTGTGTGTGTGTGTGTGTGTGTGTGTGTGTGTGCGAGGTCGAAATATTTATCATTATATTAGTTCAATATGTATGATCAATTGACTCTAATGGCTGGTTCACTTGTTACGTCATATTGTTACAGTTTAACATAACATGAATGCTCTTTTAAATATAATTATTCTTTCTTTATTCCCATATACATATATATACTAAATATTTTTGCACATACATTACAATATGATATATATAAAAGAAAGTTGTGTTAGTTACACTATTTATAACTCAAGAACGGCTGTAGGGATATGGTTTGAACATTGGTGGAGAGATAGATTAGAACATGAAGACGATCGAAAAAGAAAATAAAATGTTAATAAATTCTAATATTTGATTATTTATCGCCTCTAGAACGGAATAGAGTTTGCCCGGTTAGCTATACATACATATGTTATTGTGAAATTAACGCGGGTTAAAACGCGCCAAAAACTAGTATAATATAAAAACAAAATTGAACCTTAAAAATCGTAACATTTCATGCGTGGATTGAAAATAAGTAACATGTTGTGAACGGTAGAGGATGTACGTCGTTTAGTCATTATAGTACTCGCGACCTCTGGGTGACGGACAGATACTACTGGACATTATTACTCTTCTTCTACCTGGCAATTTCCCAGCTTTTAGCCAGGGTCTGCCTAGCAAGTTGTGAATAGTTTTGGCTAATCGTTTTTACTACCGGCTTCCTGCCTGACATCAACCCTCTTTTGGGAATGCATTAATCAGTGATGTCTAAATATTCTTAGAAAGTACATATGACTCGGAAAAATCACATTGGTACTTGCCAAGGCCAGGATCGAACCCGCGCCCTCAAGCATGAGAGGCGGGCCTGTTAACCACTAGGCCGCCACTGACTACTGGACATTATTATTATATATAATATATTGGCTATAAGGTTTATTGATGGAATTTCTTACAGCCGTACATAGACCAGGCTTTATAATTTATCTTTACATACGGAAATACTAAAGATCTATATATAAGTGTGCGAACATCGTGACACAAAGATTAATAATTATTATGTTTTACGTCCCAGAAACTTGACTGTTATAGAAAATAATACTGCGATATATTTATTTAATATAAAGTCACTAAAATGTGTGAAAGAACTAAACGTGCTAAGTGATCTGTGTTTTTATATACCTATAGGAAATCTTTGTTATTATCTCAAACTATACGGACGAAGTCGCGGGTATCAGCTAGTTATTTCAATATTTTGAACGTAAAGATTGTACGTTTGATAATTAAAATAAATTTAATCTATTGTAATTAGTACATACAAATTTATTTAAATCTCTGACCATTTCTCTCAGTGAGCTGTTTCTGTGATGGTAAACCAGACCAGCCGTTTGAAGAAAAAAAAAACGGCTGTTGGAAAATGAAAACTCATGAGGAAAAGTGGTCCGAGTCATGTTCAAAGCGTGTAGAGTAGCAAAAGAAACTTCTGGAACAACACAAAAACAAATTTGTATCTTCTTCAAGTTACTGACAAGTAAAAGTAACGTTGACTTACAAATAAATGTAAATAAACTTGAATTAAATTAGAAAATATACTTTAATTCTAAACGTGTTAATCAGTATTTAGATTTTTGCTAGATGAGACTAGGTTTAGCTTCCCAAAGAGGGTTGATGTCAGGCAGGCGGCCGGTCGTAAAAACAATTAGCTAAAACTATTTACAACACGTAAGGCAGACGCTGTACGCTGTACTTCTACATGTTCTTCTGAGTAACTCTCTCAGTATTTTCCACCATCAGGCTATTGTAACACAAGCGTATTTCAAGCACGAAGGTATGCTTTAATTGAGCACGTGCTGTTTATTAACATGTGTATCCAAGTGTTTCTTAAAATAAGCATGCTAATTTGGAGCATGCTTTAAAATCGACAGGCTTTCAATTTTTAAGCATGCTTCTAGGACGCGGGTGTAAAAAGGCGTGCTTTAAGAATGTCTAAACGGGTTTCCCTATTAAGAATGCTAGTACCGAACAGTCATTTGCAATAGAACGGGTGCAAAACTTCGAACATCGTGTCATCGCGTTTCTGTAAGCAATCTGGCACTTAATCCCAAGTCCTAAGTCCTGTCTTCTCTTTCTTTTCGAATTTTAGCAACCTGATATAAGCTTCTTATGCATTGTATAGCTAGCTAAAGGATGATCTTATTCATCTCCATCCAGATAGCTGTTTACCCAGGACTTTGTTTTAACTGACACAGAGCGTGAAAAACATTCTTAAAAACCCATATGTATATGGAACGTTTGCTTTAAGAATTCTTATTCAGGAGTATGCTTAAAACGTCACGTCGTCATCAACCTATCAGAGCCCACTGCTGAGCAAAGGAATCTTTCTCACATGGAGAAGGTTTGAGCATTAATCACCACGCTTGCTCAAGACGGGTTGGTGATTTCAAACTTATAATTGAGAAACTATAAGTCCAGGTCCAGTCCTATACAGGGTGACTGGTGAATTACTATCAATATTTAAGGAGCATACTCGGTACATGATTCTCATTCGAATTATGTAAAAAAAATAGGCACTTAATTTTTGACCAAATTTCCGTATAAATAAATAAAGTGTGTACACGTTCCAAGTGTTCCAAGTGTGGACGCGTGCGGCGGCGTGCTGATACAACATTACGCCGCCACACGCGTATGTGTGAGTGTGTGTGTATACCTAATCTGTAGGGTGTTCATACGATGCGTAATTAATTACATAACTTTTGGTTAACTTTACTTAGAAGTTTATTAATATTTATGTTATATTAATTTTTATTTTGTCATATATGATCGTGAAATATCACGTCCTCAAATATCGATAGTAATTCACCAGTCACCCTGTATATGCTTAAAACAGGCATGCTTATTGCCCGTAAATGTAAACCCTGCCAGGCACTCCTAAAATCATGCTATTAAGCATGCTTATTGCCCGCATGTGTAACAGTAGCCTCAGGTTTCCTTTCTAGTTGTTTTTCACACTTGCAGGTCTTCGTATGTTGGTGAAGCGACATCAAATCACTCTGCCTGTTCGTAGTTGTCGACTGTCTCCCTGTATTTATTATTCATTATAATATATTCCTGGTTTGCGAACAAATTGAACACTGTGAAAGGGCATATTTTACTTAAGGATTACACCTTAAAACTTCCATCTCTTTCCCTACTATGATGACAGAGAGAGACAAATTCCTGGTTATATTCTCTGTAAAATGACGCCATCGCACGTAAATCAACCTTTATTCTTTTTCTGTCTGTAGATGACGTGTACTTATGTTTTATTATAACACGATAATAAAATTAATTACAATATTATGTTAAAAATACAAATTGAATCAAATTAAACTTATATTTTTGCCTTTCACCGGAAAAGTTTTAACAGAAACAATTGACCATTACTTGGTATATTAAATAACATATTTTAAACATAATAAAATGACTCTGTTTAAAAAATTTACTAGTTTTTGGACATTTAACAATATTTTTCTTTAATTCAAAATTTTGTTTTTTTTGATGTTTAACTAAATGAGATGCAAATATATTGATATGAACCAGTCTCGAATAAAACATTATGTGAATTATAATATATAGAAATTAAAACCAGAAGTTGATAGTGGTCGAGACAACTTATGTAGTGAAAAAAATATAAAAATTTATATAAAGGAGGCATATTAAATGAAACTATGTATTAATAATAAATAAATAAGGAGATCTGTTGAATAAAATGTTTGTATCAAGATGAAAATTAAGAAGAATCAACTGTCGAGGAATATATTACTATTAACAAATGGGGCGATGAAAGGAGTTTAAAAGCATTATTTTATAATCACGACTGTATAATAATAATATTGAAACATGAGATTATAAAGGGAAGTTTATAAGGAAATTATGTAGTGGTGGCCGGGGGTTCCAGGAAAAACACGAAATTTACTTATATGTATATTATAATAAGAACTACATATTAGAACTTATAACCTACACCTAAAACTACATGATTGGCCCGATGTTATGATAGCAATACCATTCCATAGCTTGTGTGTATCAGGAATCTTCTGGTTCACACGGCTTGGTGTTCGTTCCGCGGAGTCAGCGGCGTCACTCGTTATATGATATCCATACAACGATGTCGCCCCGGCGATGTTCATTTATTTTTTAATATGTTGCGCGTACGTAACAAGGAGTTGTTTCATTGTTGGTTGTTATATTCATAGAGGTAGTTGTTGTATGTGTGTCTGTCTGTTTGTTCCAGCACATGGCACGAGATGTCCACGGCGGGTGGGACGAGGACGACACCTGCACGGAGAGAGACAGCGACGACAGCCCCATACTCTCATACAGGTACATAATCACATCCCTACTAATATTATAAATGCGAAAGTAACTCTGTCTGTCTGTCTGTTACGCTTTCACGCCTAAACAACTGAACTGATGTTAATGAAATTTGGTACAGATATAGAGTTGACCTTGAGAAAGAACATGGGATAGTTTTATCCCAGACTTTTGAAAAGTTCTGTTGGAAACGCGATATAACCGAACTCCACGGGGGCGAAGTATCAGCCTATTAGAGCTCACTACTGAGCGAAGGCGGCTTCTCACATGGAGAAATGATTATATTAAATTAATACACTTATGTAAAGAGTGGTTTAGTTTTGATTTATCTGTTCTATTCTTCAAATCATAATAATACCAAAAACTACGTAAAATAATAATAGCCGGTGTTATAGAGGCACGCGATTTCTCCTACACACAGTTTTGGTTAGAGAAAGTGTTGTTCCCACGTTATGAGTATATAACGTGCACAGACATACATACTTATATATAAGAATATACAAAATAATAAGATATCTTTATATTCATTAATCTTCTTCTTCCTGGCAATTTCCCAGCTTTAGCCAGGGTCTGTCAATATTTATTAATATAAACACATATCTTTCATATATCTTATATATAAAATTCTCGTGTCGCGGTGTTAGACAGAGAACTCCTCCGAAACGGCTTGACCGATTTTTATGAAATTTTGTGAGCAATTGAGTAGGTCTGAGAATCAGACAACATCTATTTTTCATACCCCTAATTCATAAGGGTTGTTGACTCTTAAATTTTTTTAAATTATTTTCGGACGAAAATCTTTTATTTTAATTTCTTATAATGTAATTAAAAAATACATAAAAACCATTTTTTTTTATGGCAAAACAACGTTCTTCGTCTCAGCTACTGTATATATATAACGAATCATCCTAACTACAGCCAGATAGACAGTGTTCTTGACGAGACATTACCATACATACATTAAAATAAATGTAGTGTTAAAAGCATACAGTTCATTTATTTATTAGCACGAACGATAAGAAGCTGTGAGTAGATAATAAACAAGTTTTCTTATAAATAAATTATTTAATATTTACATATTTCGTGAGACAACGGTTCATATAATTTCAGTGATAATTTCAAGTTCGATAGAAATAAATATATTCGTCGTAGACATGACGTGAGAGCTTCACACTTTAATGAAATTCAGTGATGAAGTCATTGGTGTATGATATATAGACATATATGGATTTTATTAATACGGTCCGGATGTAAGATAAAATAATTTACATGCGAATTATTAATAATAAAAATAAGGTGTCATAGTTACATAACGTGGGTAGGAATCTGTAGAATATATAGTCCATACAAGAAATTTAAAGATGAAAATGTGTTTTTTTTTTGGAAATAATTTAGGAATACACTACAAAATGGTCTTCAAATATGTTATAGGTAGATGACAAAATTTAATTAAATATGTGTTAATGAAAATTTAAAATAGTTAAATATATAACACGCTAGTTTGAAATGCAACTAAAGTACCATACACCAGAATAAGAAGCAATCAGGTCTGATGCTCTATTAACATGCTGTAAGGACTCTAGAAGATAATGGTTGCTCCCAAATCTTTAATAAATAACTCAAACTGAATTATGTGAATTGACATCTTCATACGATACAGGTTCGAACACGTTAGTTCAAGATATAAATACATCGATTTTCAGCTTTCTTGAAGCCAATGAGATTAACTTAGGCTTCTTTAAAAGATATCAAATCTTCTTTTGGTCGAGATTAGTCGTTACTTCTTTGGTTTCTTTGGAACCGCGTATTATGACGGAAGATAACTAATTAGACATTGAGATTTTGTGATGTACAATTAATATAACTTCGTCATACAAAGTTTTCTTGATATTTCAGTTCAAACTAAGCCACAGAATACTTTTTGATATGAACTCGCAACCTTTTAATTCCTTATGCGCAACTCCTACCTTTAAATTCTTTTAAATGAATAGTCGCGAAAGTCTTAGATATTTATATGAAAACTCAAGCACTGAGAGGTGGAGATAATCATTTCTTTATTAGACTAGCTTTCCGCCCGCAGCTTCGCCCGCGTAGAGTTCGGTTATATCGCGTTTCCAAGAGAACCTTTCTAAAGTCTGGGATAAAAACTATCCTATGTTCTTTCTCAAGGTCAACTCTATATCTGAACCAAATTTCATTAAAATCAGTTCAGTGGTTTAGGCGTGAAAGCGTAACAGACAGACAGAGTTTTTTTCGCATTTATAATACTAGTAGCGAAGAAGGGATTCAGGGACAAGTGCCCATTATGTGGTTCAAGTTTATCATGATAATGAGTCTGTGTGGAACACACTCTGTTTTAGGCAGCTTGATGTAATCTTTATTGTCAATGAATTATTCTCGTTCCAGGTATGACAAGCGTCGCTACCCGTACAGAGAGCGGCCGGCGGAGCGTCGCTGGGCGGTGACCACGGTCGCCAAGTTCTCCTTCTACTGCACGGCCATGATACTGTTCTGCGTGTTAATGTACATACCAGTTTATAACAGAGCCAACGAACAGATACCAAAGGGTTGGACTTCTATTACATGTTATTTATTAGGCTGCCTTCACACCAACTAGCATGAAGCTTCAGAGAAATGAGTTCTCATTAAACTCTGTGTAGTCTAAGTCTGTATGTTCAAAGGTTTGGTATGAAGGCAGCCTTATTGTGTAGAAAGTTGTTAGATTTTATTATGAATGCTTTTTTAATAGTTTAATTTTTATATAAATATAATCAATATGCTTCAGTATTTTGTTTCTTTAGTACTGTTTTAGTATTAGTAGTATTTTTCCTGTACTGAACATTCAGATGCTTCTCTCTCATACGTTAATTCAATCTAACTGCTACCTTCGTTTTAATCTGAAGTTTTCCGTCGGTTCTTTCAGTGGCTGTAGCCGGATGGTCGATTCACACGAACAGAGACACAAAAATATACGTCCAACCAGACAACGTCACAACAATACATGAACCGAAAGATGTCTGTCCCAAGAGTAACAGAGACAAAAAGAATACTCTGTTCCTACTCATAGTAGTCTGCTCAGCGACCAGCAACTTCGAAAGACGAGTCGCCATACGAGAGACGTGGGGCAGCTACAAGAACTACTTAGAATCAGGAAGAATATTCAAAGAAGTACAAGAAAAATACAAGAACTACAACTACACCTACGATTTATACGAGGAGGAAAAAAACAATTTAAATTTTAGTCTTAACTTAGATAGGAAAAGACGAGACATATCTGGCTTCGGGCGGTTCCTTCCGGAACTGGCGAGGGCGCTGCAGAAGAATCTTATCACTGTGACAGAAGAGGCCGAAGAAAAGAGGTTCGAAGACGAGAAGGGAGAAGAAATGTTGACCGGCTTCGATATGAACAAAGAACTTAACGAACAAGACGAACTAGACTTGGACTATGATGACGAAACTAACATCATGAAGATACCGCCCAAAGGATACGAGGATCAGAGTCCGGACTTGGATGACGTCATCAATATGTTGAAGAAGACGAAAGAATTCCCCAAAGAAGAAGTCTCAGAACCAGTTTCAGATAAAGAAGTGGACTTCAAGCTGGTGTTCCTCCTGGGTCTGCCTTCACAAGACAACGACACGGACGTGCAGGAGAAGATCGATGAGGAAGTAGATAAATACGGTGACGTCATACAAGAAGGATTCATAGACTCATACAACAACCTCACACTCAAGTCCATCATGATGCTGAAGTGGGTCACCAATAACTGCAACGAAAGCGGTGAGAACATATGCAGTTCTGTTATACATTCAATTCTAATCAGTACCAATTAGTGCTCTTAGTAATGTTAAGGTTTAAAGATCTTAATTCTCAACACGACATACATAGTCACTTATTTGAGAACATTGCTAACTTAAACTTATAACTGTTAACATTCGTCATACCAAGTTTTATTTAATCTCTAGTGGTTAATACGAAATTAATAAGAGAATAAGGAAATAAATATGTTCGTTATTTCTTCCAGTCCGCTACATCCTCAAGACTGATGACGACATGTACGTGAACGTGCCCAACCTGGTGCTGAACTTGAGGAACAGGTCCAGGGTCCACGACAGCTCCAAGGGGCGGGAGAAGGAGTACATGCTGATAGGAGACCTGATATGTGGCGCGCGACCCGTGCAGGATGTTAGTAATAAGTGGTGAGTACTGTGTTGATATTTGATAGAGGCGTGAGTTTTATGAGTTATGACACTCAAAGTTTGTATACTTTCCAATTCATTTTTATTTTCTAGGGAGTAAGCAAGGACATGATATTTTAAGATAATTGTTTTTTAAATGAAACTAATATTTTTACTATTATATGTATAACGAGTGTTTTATTATTGTAAAAACTACATTTCAGTTACTCTTTAACAACTATCATCACGGACAGACGAAATGTGAATGTCTATCAGTTGATCTTGTTATTAATCATTGATGATTACACGTTCATTATAATTCGAAAGATATTAGTTTCATTCAAATTAATACGAAAGCCTTAGATCTAATTAATTGGTTTTAGTCTTGGTAATCTGTTGGCAAGTACCTGGCAAGTACCAATGTGATTTTTCCGAGTCATATGTACTTTCTAAGAGTATTTAGACATTACTGACACAATTTGAATTACAACATAGTGAGGAAATATGGACTTATAATTGCACAATTATAAGCTTGAAATCACCAACCCGTCTTGAGCAAGCGTGGTGATTAATGCTCAGATCTTCTTCATGTGATAAGAGGCCTTTGTTTAGCAGTGGGCTCAGATAGGCTGATTTTTTTTTATTTATTTATAGGTTTGCTAGCGATTTTTACACAAATGAATAATAACAATCAAATAAAGTTACATATAAATTGTGTAAAATCAGTTAAAAGCAAACACTGCATGCAAACATAATTAGTTGAAAATACAAAGTGAAATCAATAAATAATAATTAAAAACATTCAAAACGAGAATAATCAAAAAGCAGGTTAAAACTTTGCCAGTAAACTTGATGATGAATCCGTTGGTTCTCACTTCGTTCTATGATTAATTCCTAGTACGTGTATGTTCCAGGTACAGTCCGCGCTACATGTACGGTGGGCGCGTGTACCCCCGCTACCTGTCAGGCACGGGGTACGCGCTGTCCGCGCCCGCCGCCAGCGCCCTCTACCGCGCCGCGCTACGGACCTCATACTTCCATCTTGAAGATATATACATCACGGGTGATTAGTACTACCTTTATACTTTGACTGACGAAAATCTGTCTCGAATGACTGAAGTTTGTATGGAGTGGGAAGTGTGGTCTGCTCAAAAGAAAACTTAGATACTGTTTTAATGATTGAAGCAAGGATTTGATAAATAACTTGTAATGAGGGGCAGGATCTTATTACGAGCAAATACGATCGAGAAGGTTCCGTGTCATGATAACAAGATGAAGTTAATACTGCTAGGCCACGTCTCGTGGATGGACAGGGTGTGAAGGTTTCGAGTCTAAGACGCAGTTTCACCAATCAATATTTGTTTAATCTAAACCCAGCATTTACTAACCAACCTACAAAATTATAAATGTCTCTTAAAATATTTACGTCCCACGATGACAAAATAACAACGCATTATTAAACGTCATGTCAAATGACCGACTACCAAATTATTCGTTCTTGTTATAAGACGACCAAATGGAAATTATAGCGTTTAATACGGCACGTTTGCCACGATGCACCACTTTATACTTTGATCGTATATATCCCTTGGTTGCATACATTTAGCACACAAAAAGCTTTCTTTTCAATTTACTAGGTGTAACCTGTCAAAATCGGGTTGTCAATAAATTGTGTTATATATTATTATGTTATAAATATAGGTATAAATTGTGTTCATATTGTAAGAGATAAAAAGAAAATTTAATTTGCAATGTTATAAAAAAGCTGGAGGCAAATTCACCATAGGAAATTAAATTTTAATTCACTTTATTAATAATAACAAGGAAATAGTCGAAACTGACAAAACAGACGACGTTACTATGGTTACAAGAAATTAGGGCTGTGATTGGACAATTGAGTTTTGACAATGCCATTAACATTTTGTTAGCCATTAGACGGAGCTCAAGAGCAGGAATTAATATTGCTGGCTGGTTAAGACATTTGTGCGTGGCGGGACGCTCGATACATCTAACAGAGCATCAAACGCATTAACACGATGTTACTTATTTAAAAATGATTGGTGAAACTGGGTCTTAGGCTAAGAGGATAACAGTTGACGGTTATTCTGAGAGTTAATGACGCTTTGTTATAAATTAATAGGAAAGCCTTTTCTTATATACATATATATGTTTTTCCGCAGGCATGTGTTCAGTCCGCGCCACACCTCGTATCGTGCCGCGCGACGAGCCGGGCTTCTCATACAGCGCGACCAGCGGCGGGGGAGCGGGACGGATGGACGCCTGTCTCGCTCACGGGCGACTCACCGCTCACAGGGTCACTCCTGACAGTATGAGGACGGTCGCCGGGAGGCTGCTGAAGACCGACTACGTGGACAGGTCAGTGACCCCGTGTGAGAGAGAGAGAGATGGGGAGAGTCGGCTGAAGTACATAGAGTAGGCAAAGAAAAGGTTCAAGCTTGTTGTGTGAAATTATCAATATATGTATATTAATACCATATATATTAAAGTTTGCAATATGTGATATTTTATAGTTTTTATATATTGTTTTACGTGTTTAATATTCTAACAGTCTGTGTGAACAATTAGTGCTCCACTAACACTATAACCGTTGTCAATACATTCCATGTTGTTGTGTTGTTTTCAGATGTGAAAGATGGAGACTCACTAAGGTAAGGAAGGACAGACTGAAACCTAAACAACAGAGTAAGAAACTGTCCATCGCCCTCACATAGTACCGGCCCTGGCAGACGCTGGCACAGCCTGGCCGCCGTCTGCCCACCTCGTCTGTCAGTAATGTGATACTAACTATGACGCTTCGATGAATCTCAGAGTTACTTAATAACATAAGTACAAAGTTATAACGAACAAATATCATATTTATTGTATATAATATAGAGTCCATTATAGCTCGCGTCGACACCATCCGAATGAGACGGAGAGATGTGTGAGAGAGAGAGAGATGCTTGACCTAGATGTAACATGTGATACGACTCCGGCCGGGGGAGGGAGGTGCCTTCTGTAGGGTTAGGTAGAGGGAGGGGGTGTGAGGGAGACACTGACATACACTCATAGTTCATTTTAGTTCTATTATTTTTCATGTATTTTGTTTTATAAGGCAGTTCTTCTGGAACGAGTATCATGTAGTACGTCAAGCTTCACACAGTTATATTCTACGTGAACTCGTCCCAGACACTGCCCGGCCGTACATGTCTTTCTCCACACCCCGTGTGTATGTTTGTGTGTGTCTGTCTGTGTGTTCCGTATCGCGTCATGTCATTGTTATTTTTTTTATACTTTTCGTTTGTCGCGTTTCAGATGAAAACCGAGCGCGGTTCTTATGTCCTATACAGCTACATCCGGTTGCTCGTCACCTCGTGCTAGTTTATAAAGACCGCGTTCACATACACCGGGTACACTTACACACGGTGTGACCCGGCCGTGCTCGTTGTATGAAGGTTGTAGTCACCCGGTCTATGTGAACGCTTCTTTCGTGATTTTACATTCACAACACAGTTATATAATTTAGCTTTTATTGTTTTATATATTTTTTTGTATTTTAAAATGATTTATGAACATTCTATAGGTTGTTAGACGAAAGGACTGAGATCACAGGAGAATACAGTGAGGATGACGATCAAACATTGTTTTATTACATAATGAATTACTTAACTTCAAGTTGTACGTCAGCTCGCTATGTTCTTTTGTTTTCTTTATTATTTCGAGTGATTTTCAAAAGACATTTTTATTATTTACTTTTTTATAATTTTAAAGTCTTCCTTTTAATATTCGCATATGTTTTTGTTCTAATGTGTCGGACAAAGTCACAGAGCAACTTTATATTATTTTTAACATTAATGATTGTATCCCTGGCCCGTCCCCGGCGACAGAACAAAAACGTTGTGTTTAATTTATTGCTCAATCATGTCGTCTCCATGTTTGTTTATCATTATTATCTTGTTTCGTTGGACATCCATCATACAATGTGAATGTGCATGTCGTTCTTCGTTTCGTGTGCGTGCGTGCGTGCGTGTGTGTGCGTGTGTGTATGTGTGCTAGTCGCTCACACATTTTATTATAAAGTATATTAACTTGTTACTGTAGTCGTCTCGTCTCTCGACAATATTTTATAAAAGCTTGTTTTCGGAAACAAAGTGACCGGAAACTATTTAAGGGACCTGAAGTGCGAGGAATATCATTGTTGTAATATTTACATATTATTATATTATAATGTTTACTTGCTTGAAGCGAGAACTCGAAACTGATGAAATCTCTGCATTATGATGAATCTCTATGATCTGAAAAATTATTAATTGTTTTTATTATATTAACCCTGTGATTACATTAAATGAAAATGAAATGTCCTAAATATTATTGTTGTGTGAATGCGTGTGTGTGTGTGTGTGTGCGTGTGTTGTCGTGGACAACACTCGGAGCGCGTCTTGTGTCCGAACACCAATATTGTACAGTAATATATAGTTATTCGACACACATACAGTGAAGTGCTCGTTATTATGTCGCGTGCTCGATATATTGTCATGATGGTTGCCATTCTCGATAGCTTTGCCTTAAAATAGATCTCTAAGTATAGTGTTCCAAGTTGTGATGAATTTTATTAATAAATATATTAAAAAAAAATCGACACTATTTTCATTGATCCTCTTTTGTTTGCAAGTTACAGTTTTTTGAAAGAGACATTATTATTAAAGATTGTTTAATCCTTTCTAACGTGGTCTGAAATCTACTGAAAGGAAGAAAACAGAAGTTCCGTATTTCAGTTAACTATAATCTTATCTATTTAAATGAGCAATTCTTGTATGTATACATATTTATTGGAATCTCGGAATCCGCTCTAACGATTTTCATGAAATTTAGTATGTAGGGGATTTCGGGGGCGATAAATCGATCTAGGAATCATTTTTAGAAAATGTTATTTTATTTAAAAAAACACAAAAAGTAGTTTAAAATATGACTCTTCCTGACATCTATTGGCGAATAGCAATACTACTTTTTGCATGCTTTTACTAATTGTTTTAATGACACAACAGCAGATGGCGTTGTTAAGTACCAGGAAGTCAATGGGTGTCTGTTTTGAGGTTAGACTAAGAAATTAATTATTGATTTATGGCTTTATGGGTGAATATACGCTATTTGAATTCCATTGGTCTATAGAAAATTTTTATGTAAAACTTATTATATCATTATCTCTCTATGCTTAACAATAAAGAACATGGCTTTTTAGCTGGCCCACAAAGACTAATTATATAATTTAAAATAGTTAAAAATGTATACTCCTCTGGCCTTCCTATTTATGAATTAAAATGAACTTATTAGACCAGTGCCGATAGCTTTTAAAACATAATTAAATTATAGTAGAATGAAACTCGTTAGAAAAGAAGGGGAATATTATAAAAATTAAAGGAAAAATAATTTACGGGCCATCTGAGGTCGGGAAGGGTACGGGGATGGGTATTTAAGGGTAAAAAATGGGTTTTCTCGATTTCCGGCAAAACTAAAATTCCTAGGAAAAAATGTTATATGGCAAAGTTGTAGGCAATAAGAAGACCTAAAACTTTTATACTAACATTTTTTTCACATAACCTCAAAATTTAAGTGAAAAATTTGAAGAACCGAGGTTTTTGTTATTTATTTTTATCTCTTACAAAAAACAATATTTCGTCACGAAATTTGGTACAAACGTTTCTTTTGATGTTACAAATATTCTGTAATTTATTTGATTAGAAATATTAATTTGTTCAGCTTATTTTGAATAAATATCAAAAAATCAGTTGAGACTGATTTTTCGATTGAAAACTTTCAAAAAGTACACAATAGTGTTTTTTATTTAATATGGTATTACGCTTTAATAAACATTGAAACATATTTTAACAAAATTAACACTATAAATATTTATTAATATAAAATAATATAATTTATTTTCGAGTCATGTTACATTTGTTTTTACGACTGGACTCCTGCCTGACATCAATCCTCTTTGGGAATCAGCATTAATCAGTGATGTCTAAATACTCTTAGAAAGTACATATAACTCGGGAAAATCACATTGGTACTTGCCCGGGCCAGGATCGAACCCGCACCCTCGTGCATGAGTGGCGGGCCTCTTAACCACTAGGCCACCACTGACTGTTATATATATAAAATATAACAACTCTAGATGTATATACGTGTCGTACTCATGCATATTACGACGATAACAACTTTTATAACTTTTTGAATCGTTATATCTCAGAAACGGTGGCTCGTAAGAAAATAAGTATTGATACATTTGTTATAGAAAATTTTATGATCTACAATTTTAGTCTGAGGTATTTTTCTGATAAAACTTACCGTTTTGCTGAAAATCGCGAAAAACTCATTTTTTTGACGTTTGACCTTGAATAAAAAAATTTCCACACACGGGAATGATGGGGAACTTTCAGCTATTGTTTATAATCGTGTTTTGAACAATTGTACCAAAATTCTGCTTGTTGCGAATTTATGTAATTTCACCCTAATTTTTGGTCTAATTTGACCGGACCATTGTATTAGCGCCCGTTAAAGCATTTATTTCTTTATTAAGGTGTAGTCTATTCATTAATAGCTTTATTCAGCAGACTTTCATTGAATTAAAAGCATTTTGAAAAAGACAAATTCATTGAATTGAATTTAATATGATAAGACTGTCATTTAATTGAAAGTATTTTGACTGCCATTACGATTCATGTTTTCAAGTTGCCCCAATACGACCCATAAGCTACCACCACCCGAGAAATTTGACAAATTGGACAAATGGAGTTTAAAATGGAAAAATGGAGGCGAGCACTACGTATATTTGGAAGCGGCTGATATTACTAGCTCCGACAAGAGGGTAATATTAATGGTACTGGGCTGAACGGCACTCCAAGAAACATTTTATAATTTGTCGCCGCACCTGAGTATATTCAGTACTTTAGGTCCGAGTTGTTGAGAAATAACCCCGATTCAATTACTAAGTTAGTCACGGTCCTAAAAACATTTGGTTAGCGTGAGATTGAGAATAGGGAAATGCAATTAAAGATTCTAAAAAACCACGTGTTACGGGACCTGCAAAAGGTGAACCAACGCAAATTAAAGAATTATTTAATATTATTGAGGATTTAAAAGAAATGGAAATATAAAAGATAGCTCTTTTCCTTGCACTAGGTAGCCCTATATTATTACTTAAAGAAAAGGATCGACTTTGTGTTTGTTAGACCCCAGGCAGGGTGAAACCATTGTATTTATGTTGTAGCAGCACAAGGGACGCGCTGGACTAGGGCCGTATGGGCACACGCCGTGTTATGGGCAAATAGCGGTACTAAGTTGTTTATGTTTTAATAATTCTAAACAATACAGTATTTATTACGAAATATGATAGAAATATGGAATTCATTTTTATTTACTTGCATTTGCATATCGTTTATTATAAAAAGAAATATTAAATATCGATTTGTAAAAACATAAGAGATACTGTTTCGATTAAGTTGTGTAAAGTCTTTAATTATAATTTGCTTTATATCAATTCAGATTGGTTGAAATGTGTTTAAAAATAACATTATATTATTATAAATTTCAAAATTTTGTTTATAAGCGAATCTCTTAAAAATGTATAAAGTCTTTTTACACAACCTGTCCGAGAGAATTTGTTTTCTTTAGATGAGTTCTTTTTTAATTTAAGAATCTCAATATATTGCCTGCGAAAGAATTTCAAAAATTAAAAACAACAGAAAATCAATGGACTCAATAAAACACATGTAAATTCACTTGAAGTATTTTAATCATCGTTAAAAAATATAAACAGACACGGTAAAAAAAAGATTGATTTTGAATTAACTTTCGCAAAAAGGATTTAGAAACGAAAATAACATTAAGTAAATGTTCTAAGGTGTGAATGTTCAGGCGTCACATCCAAAGTCACAGATCTCAGTGTTAATGTATTTTCTGGCGAGCTGGTTAGCTCTGTAGGAGAAAGTCTCGCGCTCGTAGATGTTCATGAGAGTCAGGTCCGTGGACAGGAACTTGGCTGTCTTAACATCTGGAATATAAGTTGAGAAGACGGTTCATTACTTGTATGTGAATACAGAATAATATAACAAACAGTGTGGAGTGTACTCAAATGTGTACACTATGAGGTCGTACCGGTCGGGTTGATGTCAAAGATGGGTAGAGCTGTGACGTCAGCGAAGGTGAAGGACGAACAGAGGTCGAGGGAGTTGGCGTGATTCAAGTTGATGGTCAGGCGTATAAGAGCTGGTGAAACATAAATATAAAGATGGTTACACACGTTTTGTTAACTTTAAATGAAAATAATATTATGTTACATTTATATGAATTATTTATTTTATTTGTTCATGATAAGATAGTTTAAAGTCTATAAAGCTTACGAGCCGTAGCCGTAAATATGAGTCTATAATATTGCTACACGTACGGTAAGTTCCGTGGAACTTGAAGCTGTACTGTGTGTTCTCAGCCTTGCTCGCGTGTTGGATGAGGGTCCTCGTGGACTCAAGGCGGAGGAGGGGACAGTCTAGAGACAACACCGCCGTGTCAGACGCCATGTTGTAGCTGAGAGAACGATTAATTACTTGAGATTAATATCAACACGTAAAGTTTTATAATAATTCCGTTCTTATTTTTCTACCTGGCAATTTCCCAGCTATAGCCGGGGTCTGCCTTACATGTTGTGAATAGATTTGGCTATTTGTTTTTACGACCGGCCGCCTGCCTGACATCAAACCTCTTTTGGGAATTCCGTTCTTATTTATATTTAGGAATAATACAAGAAAATATTTGACGATAAGTTAAAAAATTGTATAAGTATCTGTAAGTTCATACAAGAACTCGCTGACGGCACACTTGTCGTGGTTTCTTATGACCAGGTCGTGGTCGATGTACGTAGCGTTGAAGTAAGGCGTGTAGAACTTGAAGACGGGGATCTTGTACTGGGATGGCACGGAGCCATAGCGCGGCTTGCAGGCGGAGTTAGCGGCCAGGTTCTCACGGAGACACTCCTTGTTCTTCACGTGACACGGACGAACTATCTTCGGCGGCACTGATACATATATAGATAAGATTGAAAGACATTTTAGATATTAAACAGAGTCTGAGCAGTTACACTATTAAAGTAAGGGAAGATTGGTTTTTGTAACTAACTCGACACAAACACAAATTTGGTATCTGTAGGTATCAATCCTGTAAAATTTGTAAGTTATAACTATGATATATTTTTAAATACTTCGATTTGTTATCCATAAAAGTATGGGAAATCAATTTTTAAAGATATTTTTACAGGAAAGATTATAAGGCTTATACGGACTGTGTTTTTTGCATATTTTAAGGCTGTTAAAGTCGATTAAACTTTTGGGGATTTTCTCAATAATTTTGAATCTCGAAAGTTAGCTAAACAACTTGTCAGGTAGCACAAGTAAAGAAAGAAGTTAGCAAAATAACTTATATCAACTTTAACTCATACATATGTGCATTACGTGGACAGGCTACTATGTAGTAATGATTTGATGGAGATAAGTTTTGCTTTTTTAAAATTTGAAAGACATACATAGTTATATATAATGTATGTGTATATGAGAGCTAGGTAACTCACCGGCGACACACGCCGTCACTAAGCACACGGTCAGCAACAGACGCTTCATGGTTGAGGGCGGGAGCTGGACCACTTACCATCGACGACAGACGACGGACACTAATTGATACCGAACCAGTGCTTCAGAACAATAACAACGCTTCTAGAATTGTAAAGAATTGAATTGACAGCACCTGAACAAACAGTATGCTGACGGCTTTGTGTTCAACAATGATCATTACATTTATTGGAATGTTTAATGACGATTAATCATTTTATTTTTCACTAAAACTGTTTGATTAACATTGAGTTAGTTTGAAATTAGGTATTTTACGGATGTATGACGCTTGTGATTAGTAGGTATACTGAAAACAAAGAGAACAGCGGACGCAGGATTGTTAACGCTTGTATTGATATATTGAGCGAAATAAGACTATCGTTACAAGTTTTTAAAACAGTGAATGTTGTTTTCAAAGTTTTAATATTATATACTCGTTGGTATCGATGTCCGAGAAACTGTTTATGATAATGATAAACTAGATGGATCATAAGAAGTGGTATTTTTTTTTACTAAATCTTCATGGCTTATTGTTTTTATTTCGTAAATCCCAGAGTATATTTAGTCTAGACCAGACATATTACTGTATTCACGAATTTAAAATTGCGTTTTGTTAATAAAGCATACGGTTCCATGAGAAACCAACATCTCCAAAGACTATACCACCAAGGTCAAACTAAATTTCTCAGCATTCAATGGATTTACCGTGTGGGTATCAGGTCCATCGTTGTAGTGAGAGGAGCTTCAACAGTGCCTGGGACTTGCGACCCAGGTGTAGGTTTAAGGGACCCTATCTAAAGCGCGTTAAACGCTCTCATCCACCGTCCAAGATACTCTCTTTACCAACCTATTACCAAGAACCTATTCTTAATGAATTCATTAGTGAGCTGGTTAAACACTTCAATTCTATAAACTACTTTTCCAATTTGACATAAAAAAGTTATCCATGGATGATTTGAAGCTAAATATAAAATAACCTCGTTCCTGGTTTGAAGTGAACGAGCACTCTGTACAAGTCCTCTACTATTCGCTATGTTTAATAAATACAGGGGCGAAAATAAAACAAGAAATTTGCTTAAAAATCATTTTAATCATAACTATTGTACATTAATATTTAATAATAGTTTTAAATAGTTCCAGATATCAACACAGAGAACACGCGCGCACCAAGCGTTACGAGATAAATGCAAAAATAAATATCGCGCTGTATGAGGCGGCCGGTGATAGAGAAATGATCAGCAACGTTAAGCGAGCTCGAGCGAGTCGGTGACTAGATGGGTGACCGAGGTGATGCGGACGAGGCGAGTGAGGGATGAGTAACACAAGCCGGCCTCATACATCGCGCACACACACACAGAGGCGGCTCACACCTGCACAGGGCACCTGTACGAGCCGCTACCTGTGTGAGACTGTGGACTCGTTTCAATCGTATCGTTGCAGGTCACCCTGCAGTCTAAAGTACCATTTGTGATGTCGATGAGATTCTCCCTCGATTGAAACTCGCCCGCGATTTTTTTTGTTTCACGTAAAAAAATTAGCGACTAACGATAATATTAAAGCGTTTACGAAATACAAAATGAATGAATCTTTTCATATTAATAGCCTTCGAGCGAGACGCGCCCTGTGACGTCACCCGCCCCTACTTCGTTACAGACGAGGAATTAATAATATTAGTGAGGTGAGAGGTTACTGGCGAGGGACGTCACACGACCGACCGACCACACGCGACGTAACAAAACAGAGTTAATAATAATAATAAGTGAAGTAACATTTTGAACCAACATTTGGTTTAAATCACAAACGTTCGCCGAGCGCCGGCTGTCAATATATTTTAATACATAATGTACATCCATACACAGAGGACGAGGACCCAGGCTGTCCTACGGTATTAAATAACGAAAGGATTCGGTGAAAGGCACGAGCACTCCGACGCCATCACAGTAGTCCGGCAGTGAGCGAGTGAGACGGCACGAGACTTAGACAACACGAGCGAGCGAGACGACAACACACGCACACACCGCTCTAAAGACAGGAAGCTACACGACAATGCACCGTAAAGTATATCGCTATGACACTCACTCTCACTCACTCCTCTGAGTCCCAACACGAGTCACCCGACACAGACCTATTATCATATGAACAGTATTCTATTCATCGACTACTGACAACTAGACAGGACTGTCAATATTATGTGTGACACGATGAGTGGGGGGAGGGGGGAGACAGTAACAGATCCTAGATCATAAATATAATAAACATGTAATGTCTTTTAAAATAACACATAACATCAACACTCCCCACGCTCCCCGCAGGAGGTTCAAATCTAATCCAACACTAAGTCATCTAGCGAGTCTCGAACAGAAGTATGAACGCATGCTGCTGGATGTGGGCCCGGGCCCACTACTACTGTACCTACATCGACGATACTCACATGATCCGTTTACAAAAGAAATACTCCACAGAAATATATACAGATATAATGAACAGATCGTCCGCCGACACACAGACCGGACGCCGGCCGGCCGCTTACTGTTAGTTACTACTGGTACATCATTGATCATTGGATACATGCCGTCTGTCAGCCGGCCTCGTGTGGAGGGGGGAGACAGTTAGTGGTCACATAATATACATTCAACACCAGCCTCCACACACGGGCGGGCGGCCGGCGACACCACACACGTGTGTGCGTGTGTCAGTCCGTCTGTGTGTGTCGCGAGACGAGGGCGGGTCGCTACGAGTGTGTGGAGGAGGGGGGCGGCGGCCGGGAGGACTCCTCGCGCTGCTTACTGATGTACACCTGGAACAGGGACGCGACTGATATATAGCACTTGGAATATAAACACAGTCAGGTGAGGTCAAGGGTGAGTCGCTCCGTACCTGCAGCAGGCGGTACTTGCTGACTGACAGGTGCTTGAGGTGCGGCGTCATACGCTCGTCTCCGAGCGCGCACGTGAAGGCCACCATACAGAACACGGCCGCCTTGCGCACCGCCGAGTTCTGGTGGTCGGCCAACTGGAAGGAGACAACAACACGGTCAGAGACATTACTCATATTTGAGGTCAAACTCGTTACATAATCGAAAAAAAAAAAATCATTTATCAGTAGCATGTCGCATTACATACAAAGCAGAGCTATAACCAAAGACAATATGATCTTTGTGAGATGTAGTAAATAGATTATCTCACCAAAAACATGCCTGTTAAAAAGGGGGCCAAGTTCCAATCGGCTAATTGTTTGCCTAAAAAAGGGGTGAAATCCAATCTAATGCCAAGTTTAGATGCACTTTGAAATCGATCATAATCATCTTCATCAACAGCATGATCCACTGGTAAACATTTGCCATTCCCAAGACTCGCCACCACACCCAGTCCTCTGCCTTCCACATCCAGCCACTACCCGTCACCTTATTCACGTCAACGGTCCATCTGGCCGAAATTCACTTTACCATACACCCAACTTAAAATATGGTATAGTTGTGAAAATACGTAGGTGCTTGGTTAAAAATATCTAAAATTATAATACTTCTCAATTTGAACTTGGCAGGTTTTTGTGGTGTACGTAACACTTAATTAATTGTATCATTAATTTATTATTTATATACTTATTTATATTTATATAATTTAAATATTATATAATTTAAATAATTAAATTAACCTGCCAAGTTCAAATTTAGAAGTATTATAATTTTATATATTTTTAACCAAACACCTACGTATTTTCACAACTATACCATATTTTAAGTTGGGTGTATGGTAAAGTGAATTTCGGCCAGATGGACCGTTGACGTGAATAAGGTGACGGGTAGTGGCTGGATGTGGAAGGCAGAGGACTGGGTGTGGTGGCGAGTCTTGGGAATGGCAAATGTTTACCAGTGGATCATGCTGTTGATGAAGATGATTATGATCGATTTCAAAGTGCATCTAAACTTGGCATTAGATTGGATTTCACCCCTTTTTTAGGCAAACAATTAGCCGATTGGAACTTGGCCCCCTTTTTAACAGGCATGTTTTTGGTGAGATTTCAATACTTTTTTTCAAGAAATCGTACATACAATCGTACTATAGAGCCGTACAATGCATAGCTTACAGCATGAAACATACAGCTACCATCTGATGGCATAGAAATTACCCTATGTGGTATATCTCCGCCAACCACCAAAAGATGCACAATTTCCATCGTTGGTAAATGAATAGTAGAAAAGAAATAGAGTGAATTTGTGCTTTTAGCACACACAAGTAATCAATCAATAAGCAATATCAAAATTAATCCTTTAGCAAGTCAAATCAGTGATCCATTTAATCGTAATCGTAACCATATATAAGATATCAAGACATAAGTGTAGAAAGAAATAGAAAGAAATGACCATCGATTCCTTATCGACTTTCATTCATATATACTGCAGACAAAACAATATCGCGATTCAATTATACCGCTAGCGCCATCTATCGAAAGTAATTTTTAACAATAAAAACCTGATTTTTTAGTTAAGCAATATTTAATTAAGTTATACAGTGTGCATTATGTATACATGACAATATTTTATATCCCTTATATATATATCAGTTCTTAAGAAGCGCCCCACACTTTTTTCACAATAATATTAATTTAAAAATAAATTAACAAACAATAAATGGTATTCTTGTGAAAAAAAGCGTGGGGAGCTTCATATATCACTTCTTGAGAAGCGCCCCACGCTTTTTCTCAATAATACCATTTGTTGTTTATTTTAAACAATTAAAATTAAATTGATTTCCAAGGTTGTAAAGGTTAAATTAGTTTCCACGCGGTTTCTTTCATCATTGGAGCGTGTTTTTTAGTTTTTTTTAAACTATATTTATTTTTAATTTTTTAGTTTCTTTTATCACCGATTGATAGATGTACTCATATTATTAATTATTAATATTTCATTATTATGTATTTTATTGTGCGGAGCTGAGCGCCTATATAAAGGTTTTGATTACCTGTCAGTGAGTCAGTGCCAAAATTAGCTATTTTCACAGGGTCATATTTCCGGATCTACTGAAGCTTTATCTATGAAATTTGGCATACTGCTTTAGGACTAGTATATGATTACGTAGGTACAATTTTATCTCTGTACTTGCAATAGACACTGAGGTACAGGGGGTCAAAAGTGGGTCGAATTTATTAAAAATTCGATATTTAGAGTTGAGGCAACTCACGCTTGACCGATTTCTTAAATTTCTTAATTTTTTGGTTATCTACATATAACACACAACCTGTGTACCAAATTTCATAATGCTAAAACAATGGGAAGTGGCCTAGAGGTTTTGATTACCTGTCAGTGAGTCAGTGCCAAAATTAGCTATTTTCACAGGGTCATATTTCAGGATCTACTGAAGCTTTATCTATGAAATTTGGCATACTGCTTTAGTACTAGTATATGATTACGTAGGTAAAATTTTATCTCTGTACTTGCAATAGGCACTGAGCTACAGGGGGGTCAAAAGTGGGTCGAAACGGTTCGTGTAAATATAGTGCACGGCATGCGCCGGCCTGTGGAACTTGGCCGGCGCACTACCGTGCGCTTAGATTTTAACTAAACATACCTATTAACCATTATATACTACGCAAACTAATTTAGTACCTATTTAATATACGATCTATTGGAAATAAAATCAGTATCTATTCAGCAGTCTTGTCTTTCATTCCTCTCTCAGGGCACCACATTACAGTTGGGTCTCATATTATTTTCTGATTTAAACCGCTATTTCATTTTTAATAGCACAATTCATCAACAGATATTCGTCAACCTACAGTCTCATGTAAATCATTATTCACATCGTTCATTCTGTGTATTTATTCTAACTCCCTGTTTACCTGTCCTACTCCCTCCATGAGTTGCGCCACAGTATCATCCGTCAGTTCGTCTCCTCGCGCCTTCGCTACTTCGGCCGCCAGTTTGAGAGCGCACAGAGACGTAGGGTAGCCGCGGGTCCGGATCACAGGCTTCAGTAGCGCCAACACCTAGAAACATCGACAATTATTGTAATTATTGTCCACTTAACTCTCTATATTTAAACATAAAGATCAGTTAAATAAAACCCCGATTAACAGAGTTATGGATATACGAGATTTGGGAATAACTATTGACTCTAAATTACTATTTAATAAGCACATAGATGATACTGTTTCTAGGTCTTATCGTTTATTGGGATTTATTCTTAGAGTAAGTAAAGAATTTTAAAAACCTGAAATAATTTTATTATTGTTTCACTCTTTGATTCGACCTATTCTGGAATACTCATCTACTGTAGGGAATCCATGTCACCAAATTCGTATAGACAGTTTAGAAAAGTTACAAAACAAGTTATAGAATTATATAAAAAGCCGGTTTCCTCAATGTAAAACTATTAAAATGTAAAATGTAAAAAACTATTCAACTTAAAAAATACTCTCCAAAGTCGACGTGATTTTCGTGACCAAATATTGTTATTTTAGTACAAGCAAAATTAATATCAACTGCCCTCGAAAAATAGCCACCTGAGGAATTGCTCCATTATTTTATATTCCTACAGTTAAAACATATTACGCTTAAAACTCATCTATCAATAGAGTTTGCGTAAAATATGTTTAATGTTTCCTTACAGTTATTTAAAAAAAACGTTGTTTGAAACCCAAAAATTAATTTTCCTACTTTACTACTTAATATGTATTCCTTTTCCGTAATTAAGATAACAATGCGACGTTTCGTTGATTTTTATAACTATTGTACATATTTGTTTGTTTTTTTTTCTATTTGTGGCAGCTTCATTGGTGTATGTTTTTGTAATTTTATTTATAACTAGTTTTTGCCCGCGACTTCGTCCGCGTTAATTTCGTCATTAGTAATATAGGTATAGCTGACCGGGCAAACTCTATTCCGTCTTCAATAACCCGGTATTGGTATTTATTAAATTTCTACTGTTTCAATCGAACAGAATGATTGACATATTAGTTAGCTGTCAAGTCTAATGTCAAAAACTCGTTTGTATGGGAAATAGAAAAGGGTGTTTTTGGATTTTCCCGGCAATTATTCCATTTTTTCTCACCTTTTAAACCTTCCCTGGACTTCCAGGAGTATTTCAAGACTAAAATTAGCCAAATTGGTTCAGCCATTCTCGAGTTTTAGCGAGACTAAGGAACAGCAATCCATTTTTATATGTATAGAAGATTTAAGTGTATTGTGAACTGTTTGTGCCTTAACACGAGCTGGTCAGGTCACACACACACACACACACCACGTGTCAGTGAGTACCTGTGCAGCGGGGAGCGCGTGCGCGATGTGCGTCATTCCCGCGTCCACGGCCCTCATGACCTCCTTGCTGGATGCCCCGTACGCGTTGATCAGCTTCAGCAGTATGAGGTCGAAGTACTCGGCCCACAGCGCGCGCGTCTCCGTCCGCCGACACAGCCACACTAACACGCGCACAGCCTCGGCCGCCGCACGCTCCTGCGCCGTGCCCCAGCCTGTAATAATAATAATAATAATATTTATTTGCTCTGAATGTAGGTACAAAATATAGGTGTATAAAATAGATTTTAGTATAAGCTCCAATACATTCTACCTTAAGGCATGCAAATGTTAGGCTTAAATTATAAATTGAAATTAACTATTAAATTAACAATGCAATTATAATTATAAATTCATATTAAATGTTTTACAGATGAAAATTAACAATGATAGATAGATAGATGATTAAGTTATATATTTTATACATTTTTTTATTCATCAATTTCTTACAATATTATGTCTTGTCTATTAGATAATCATTTACAGAGTAATAACACTTGTTGACTAGTAAGGAAAACAAAAGTTTTTTTTAAATTTTACATAAGTCTTTTATTTCATTCGGTATTTTGTTGCATATAATAGGGGCCATGGTCAATATGTTCCTTGTCAATAAAGCATTTTTCTAATAGCCTGTACATAAAAGATTATGATACTGAGACCTTAGATGTATAGAGCGATTTCTCGTTTCTCTTAATGAAGGGAAAAGGTGCTTATTTGTTTTCACAAAGACTGCAATTTCAAATATATATAAACAAGGAAATGTTAAAAGCTTATATTTCCTAAAAATCGGTTTACAGCTGACCGTGACCTTCAAGTGTAACACGCCTCGTGTCAATATATCATCCCTCCCCCTCCTGCCCCACTTCTCTCTCCTGTGTCTCACCTGACGCGTGTTGTGTGTTGGTCGCGTTCTCAGCGTTCTCCTTGTCTGCGGAATTATCTTCGACGGAGAGTGCGGCGAGCGCGGCGCGGACGATGTTCCTGTAGTTCAAGCCAGTCGAGTTAATATGAGTCGTATGGAGGTGTGTGTGTGTGTGTGTGTACTCGTGTCTCACTTGAAGTACTCGAGCGGCAGTCGACAGTCTCCGTACTTGAGCACCTCGTGCGTGGCCAGCAGCAGTCGCTCCGTGTGTTCAGGAGCCGCGGCCGCCACGTCCAGCGACGACAACGCCTCCAACACCTCGCTCTCGCGCAGTCCGGCTGGAACCATTCAACGAACATTTAATTTAATGACTAGAGCCCGGATTAATATGTAAATACTTACATATTTTTAATTTACGCGATTTTCGGTTTAGAATGTGTTTTTTAGATGGATTGTCATATTAAGACTGTGAAAAACCAGCTTTTATTTTCCATATTTCAAAGTAAAGTCCATATTATACAAGAAAATGTCACAATCATCCATATATTCACAAAAATACATAAAATTTACGTTCCCGCCACTAATGTTTTGTATAAAAATAATTGATTTAATACGCTAAAAAAAATTAACAAAATTCTGTACGAAAGTTTCAAGGGCTGTAGACATGGCTTACACAATTACAGAATTAAGCATGCTTAAATATGCACCCATCACGTCATGTGACTTGATATGACACCAATTAGCAGATATAAGGCTATATTTCGACCAAATGGTCAGTTTTCATTTAGATAATTTAAAGAAGCACGTCATTGTGTATTGCAACCAATTTGATAAGACTATTGAAATGAAAGTTGAATAAAACTGTAACTTTTTGTTGAAATAAATATTTCGCTATTTTTTTCATCGTTTTTTAAATGTAACTTAACGATGTACGTCACGAGTGACCCTTTTCTTATAGTCGAACAATTTTTAATTATGAAAGTATTTTATTTTATACTCCATATTTTTTCCATATTTTTTATTTTTTCGTCCATATTTTAGATTTTTTAATGCATATTTATCCGGGCCATAGTAATGACTGAATACCGCCCCTCCTATGGAGAGAGAGAGAGAGTGTGTATATATCTCCGTCCTACTCACACTTGGTGATGACCATCCCGTTCTCGTCCATCTCGTAGGGCTTCATCTTGTCTCTGTTGTTTGTTCCGGCGGTCGTGTTGTATTCTCTGTAAGGAATATGTCTCATTACTCTACATTGTAACATACCAGCGTCTCTCACTACGCGAGGGAGGGAAACTGCAACTTAACGAACTATTATTTTCATGTTTCTTTCTGATAGTAGTCATTCATAACTCACTGACTTGCAGGTACTGTTATTATGACTGTTACATGTAGTATAGGTACATATTTCATATATTTTAAGTATCTGTTCATGAGTGGTATAAAAGCATTGTAGACAAACCATCACGCAAACCCTGGTTCGCTTCAAGAAACCTCAGCAGAAAAAATTTAACTATTTGCTTCCAAACCCGTACCTATCACATCCCACTTAACAAGTTTAACTTCATCATGAAAAAAAGAAACGATCCAAACTGTAAACGATGTGAGAGAGAAGAGGACCTCCTACACTTAGTTCTTGAGTGTAAAATCAACGAACAATCTAGGTTGGATTTCTTAAATGAAACTCGATGTTCTAGGGGTGAGCTTCTCTTCTCTCTCCATCAAATCTTAAGTTCAAGTTTCATCATAGACTCATTGAATCTTAGATCTAACTATTATAAAAATGTTCATTAAGTAGTAATCTCAAATGTTAACACCTACAGTATAAGAATTTTTGTTTGTATTTTTAAGTCGCCTTAATCTCTGGATGTATGATTTATAAAATAAACAAGATTACAAAAAAAAAGTATCTGTTTTGTATCTCCTCACCCGTGGTAGTCAGGTCGGCGCGGTCCGGGCGAGGACTCCTTGGTGCTGCTCGCCTCCGAGCTGTCCGCGGACGCCGCCCGAGCCACCGCCTCACTACACACAACACGTACTATAAGTATCATATCCCGTATTAACACACTAACACTTCCTCTAGTACAGATCTGTTCATCAGTAGTGTACGTACTGCGCGTGTCCGTTGTGTCTCTCCGACATCTGACTGATCCCCGAGTCCTTGCTGCATGCGTGGCTCGCACACTCCGCTGTAACAAACGAACACTTCATTATAACTCGTCTCCCCTCCCCGTGCCTGTACACGTCACATCACGTCATGGTCTCGTTAGTCACCGTTCGCGTGTTGTGTGGTGTACGTGTGTATCTCGCTGGTCGTCTTCCGTATCCGGCTGTACACGTCATCGGGTGCGGCCGTTGACCTCAGCGGACTGTCGCTGCCGGCTGCCACACACACACACACATACATATATTAGTGAGTATTACTTAACGTTATGTTGAATAAAACTTATAGTATACTGACTGCTGGAGGTCCTCCTCACGTGTTGCTGCACCACTCCGTTGACGAGCGCCTGCGTGTCGGCCGACAGCTCCGACATGAGAGATGTGAACTGGAACAAAAGAACATACATACACTCACACGACGCTCGGATAGAAACAGAGACAGAACGAGAAGGGTTGGAGTACTGACAGGGCCGGGGTTACAGTCGTAGAGGGCGGCGAGCGCGCGGCGGGCGCAGTGGCGGACGTCACCCGCGCGGGCGTCACCCGCCAGGACCGCCACCTTCGTTAGAGCTCGACCCGCCACGCCGGACGAGCCGCCTGCACACACACATATATACATATAGGACATGCATTATTATTAATCGATGCTATATGAGGAGGGCGCAACTGTGACAGCATAAACATCAGCTCCGTATATATTTCGTAATAAAAATCATAAAAGTGAAAAACCAGTGTAAAAGTATAAGAGACTAGTAAAATGAGTGAAAGAAAGTTAAAATATAAACTATTCATAATTTTAAAACACGATAAGGTGGTAAAATAGACAATAACAATAAAGTGTTTTTTTTATGGTGATAAAAAGAAGTTATCTCAAGCTACTCATTCTGTGATTTATGTGATTGTCTAATGAGAGGAACCACGGCCGATCTAGCGAAAACTAAGTTCCCATAATAAAGTTAGAAATACAATAACCTAAAAATCAAAGTATGTATTGTCAAGTCACTCAATAGTACCACCGACTTTTTTTTACTAAAAGCGTTATCTAACGGAGTGTAATCAGCTAATATCGTCAATATCGATAACTCATAATAGCCGAGCAGAAATTCTACGAGCCTACTTAATACTGCCACTCGTCAACAGAGGGCTCAAAACCCAATATGGATGAAGTTAAATATATGTTAAGAAAAATGCAAGAAGAAATGAGACAGCAAAAAGTAGATATGGTAGCCATGAAAGGAGACATTAAAAACACAATCAACAATAATATAAATGAGAAATTTAAGAGTTTGGAAAACAAAAACTTACAACTATAGCAAACCTTGGAAACACAGAAATTGTTAATTGATAACTTTGAAAGGTTCAATAGAAGAAAAAAACCTACTGTTTTTGAATTGAAGAGCGAGAAATTAGCTATTAAGATTTGGAGAAAAATGTTTTAGATATCATAAAAAGCATTTTGAACATCAAATATGAAAAGCATTACTTAGAATTTGTAAGAAGACTTGGAAAAAAAGGCGATAAAATAAGACCTATTTTAACTACTCTGCTTACTATGGGGATGAAAATAGAAATACTAAAAAACAAAAATAATTAAGAAACAACTTCCTACTATTGTACATTTTTCTTTTCTTTGTTTTACTCCTATTATTTTTGTCTATGTTGGTGTGCAATAAAGAGTATATAAATAAATAAAAAATACTACATAAAAGAAGACTTCCAACTAGAGGTGATCAAAAAACGAAAAGAACTCCAAGGAGAAGTAGAGATGTTAAAAGAACAAGGGAAAAAAGCTATAATAAAATAATAAAAAACAATATCCAGAAAGGCAAAAAAACCCTCAAAATAAAAAAAGGAATCTATCAGAATCTCCAGAGACGGTAACGAACACAACAAAACTTATGAACATAGAAAAACAGAACCAAAAATAACCTGCTAAGTTAAACAAGACTAATAACATAAGCAATTATATTATAAGAAAACCTACGCTCACATTACCAGAAAATTCACAAAGAAGCATCTCTAATCAAAATTCAAAATAGCAACCAACGCCGCTTCCTCTCGAACTCAAAATACGGCTTGTCACCGCAGGAGCTGTAGACTATAACCCTCCAGCATGCCATCAATAACAACTTTACAAACAAAACCTTTATATTTGTACATACAATGTAAAATCTCTATTATCACCCCGCAAAGAATGCTACTGCTACAATACTCTTTAGAGAATATTAAATATGATATTATTGGACTAGCAGAAGCCAAAAGAAATGGAAATAACATAATTGAGGACGATCAGCATATATTCTGTCACACTCCAAAGGACTCCATGGGGTCGGATTCTTAATTAAGAAAAAATACAAAAATAATATTGAAAATTACATAGGCGTATCTGAAAGAGTCTGTTTGCTGAACTTGAACTTTAGAACAACGAAACTTTCACTTATACAAGTTTACGAACCCACCTCGGACGCAACTAAGGAAGAGACTGATGCCTTCTATGACCAAATAGAAAATGGCCGAAGCCTTGCAACCGGCAAAGTAATATTATTGGGTGACTGGAATGCAAAGATAGGTAAAAGAAAACGCGAAGATAACACAATAATAGGCCCATACTGCTATGGTGAGAGAAATTATAGAGGCAAAAAACTTGTTCAGTATGCTCTTAAAAATAAATTTACCATATAAACACAATATTTAAGACAAAAATCAAGAATCTTTGGACATGGATAACACCGGACAAACAAACCAAAAACCAAATAGACTTTATTTTGAGTAATCACTCAAAGCTCTTTATAAACATAGAAGTCCTAAACAAACTCTCCTTCCCAAGTGACCACGGACTTTTGAGAGGAACAATAACTCTAAATACACAAAAGAATGCCCTAAGAACAAAAACCGAATAATTGAGCTGGGAAGACAATGATGATATAGATTCATATTATTTCAAGATTGAGTCATCCATACAAGAAAGTTTAAAGAATACTTCTCCTATCAAAATAAAGAAAGAAATAATATCAGAAGAAACTAAAAACCTAATTAAAAAAAGCACCGATCTACAATATAAATCCTCCAAATCAAAAGAAGACAAAAAAGAACTATCAGAACTATTCAAAATTACAAACAAACTACTTAAAAAAGAATACGATAATTACAGGATAGAAATAATTGAAAAACAATTACGATCCACTGGAAGCCAAAAGAAAGCATATAAACAATTAAATACAGGAAAAAATGGATTCCAACATTGAAGACAAAAAGTAAGGTAAAACAACAACAAACTAGGAAAGTCCTTGTAAAAATTGCCTCAAACTTCTACGAGGAGCTGTACGATGATAAATCTGCTGATAATAAGAGCTACGAAAAGTCCTCAAAAACAGGAGATAGAAATCAAACAATTCAACCTTTCCACAGCGCCGAAATAATTAAGAGAAACGAAAAATTGAAAAAAGATAAAAGCCCTAGGGCCGATAATATCCCAAACGAAGCTTTAATACTAGGAAAGTATCTATTGTTAGGTCCGTTCACTACTCTCTTTAATAAAATACTTGAAAAACAAGAAATACCGATCAATTGGGCAAAGTCACGGATAACTCTTATATACAAAAAGGGAGATCTAGAGGACACTCCGACCTATTAGTCTACTGCCTACAATTTATAAGTTGTTTGCTATGTGCCTAGAGAAAAGAATAGAGCCAACTATAGAAAAGAACCAACCGGTAGAACAGGCTGGGTTTGGCCAGGGGTAATCAACAATGGATCATATACACACCTTAGATCAAATAATTGAAAAATATATAGAATTCCACGAAAAACTATATAGCATACGTTGACTACGCGAAAACGTTTGACTCTACCTCGCATGAAAGTATCTGGGACGCATTTCAACATCAGAACCTTCACTCTACATATATCAATATTATCAAGGATATATATAGAAAAAGCACAAGTCGGGTTAAACTAGACTGGCTAGGCCAAGAATTTAATCCTCGGAGCATCCTCGGTATAAAAATTTTTGATAAAGAAAACAGCGAAAGAATAAGACAAAAGACCCAGGTTATAGACGCACTGAAGCATGTATTAGGATATATGTTCTATAATTATACAATGTTTATTAAATATACTATTTGTATTTAAATATATATCTTGTATATATTGAAAACATAACTCTTAAATAATAGAAAATATTTTAGTAAATAATAATTTGAAAGCGGGTTCCAATTTAACAGTATATTAAACACATATTTGACCTGTTACCGCTTTTGTACCTAAGTCTTATTCTTACTTTTTAATAATAATTTAATTATAAATCAAATAATATTCTAAATACAATAAAATGTATATTTTTAAAGTTTTACCAGTTTTTAAGCAAAGCTTACTCCAATATAATTAAATAATAATAGTATATTAGACATTCGTTTGACAAATAATTGACGACGCAACACTTTGGTGAGTTAAATTCTCACTATTCGATTATTTAAACTGTAAATGACAAGATATATATTTAAATAAAAATAGTATATTTAATAAACATTGTATAATTATAGAACATATATCCTAATACATGCACTACGCTTAAAATGGAAATGGGCAGGACACATCGCCCGCTCCTCTACAGATCGATTGGTCAAGCGAGCAACCGTTTGGAAGGGCCCAGGAGGTCCTGGAGTAAAAAGAAAAAAGGGCAGACCAACAGCTCGCTGGGCCGACGACATACTAGAAGTAGCAGGAAAAAACTGGGTGAGAACAGATACCGACAAGAAGAAATGGGGGCAACTGGAGGAGGCCTATACGAAAGGGGCCATACTTAGCTTACAATATTTACATATACTTAATGTTCGTTTTTCTAACGGTAAGCGATGTTTTTGGATTAATAGAGGCTTTATTATTATGTTGGTTGTCATATGTCGTGTGTACCATGTAGCGCGGCAGCCAGGCCCGCGGGCGTGCAGTACTCGTGCGCCAGGTCAGCCAGGAAGCGCAGCGCGGCCGCCTTCGTCTTGGCGGTGGGGGCGGTCGCTCCGTCCGCCAGGAACCTGTCACACACACACGTCTGTATTATCTGCACTGTGTCATGTCTGTGTCATGTTGTGGCCGAGTCTGTGTCTGTGTCGGTACCTGAATATGTTATGCAGCTGCAGCTCAGCGGGGAAGCACTCGTGTATAACGTCCAGCGTCTTCATGATCTTACTCTGTACCGAACCCAGGATGTCTGTGCCGAGCTTCATCAGTAGTCTGGAAACATTATTGATATATTGCTAGGCTTAGAATGTTGAGGATAATGAAAGACACTATATAGTTCACGATTTATTTCCGAGATAGTACAATAAGATACACTGATGCATATGTAATAAATATGCAATGATTCGACTTTTATACATGATTTATATCAAAGAATATGAGATACACAGATGTGACACATTTTAAACTAAGAATATGTAACTTACTAATTACTTAAATACCTATACTTCAGCCACATTCGATGTGGAATTTTAGTAAACAAACCATGAGTCATCATAATTAGGGTTGATACACTCGTAATAAAAAAATAATAATAAATATTATAATTACAACTATACTCATTGAAAATTCCTGTTTAAACACAAAAAATTTAATTTAATATAGAATCCAAAAATTTTATTTAGCCGGTCAATACATGATTGAGATGAAAATTTGCTTAAAATAAAAGTTTAAAAATCTTTAATTACCACTATAATCTTCTTTTACCTGGCAGTTTCCCAGCTATAGCCAGGGTCTGCCTTACATGTTGTGAATAGTTTTTTGGCTATTTGTTTTTACGACCGGCCGCCTGAATGACATCAACCCTCTTTTGGGAATCAACATTAATCAGTGATGTCTAAATACTCTTAGAAAATACATATGATTCGGAAAAATCACATTGGTACTTGCCCGGGCCAGGATCGAACCCGCGCCCTCGGCGACGAGACCACTGAGCCACCACTTTAATTACCACTATAATATTACTACAAAACCAACAACCCTATATTTTAATACTGACGTAAAGAAATGGCAGGATTGTAACATTTGGAGTGTTTTTTAGGCAATTGGCAGATTTAGGAAGGATTTTAATGTAAATGAGTCCTGTCATTTTGGAGGCGATCGATAAAGTTAATAAAGCGAATTATATAACTACTAGGTAATTTCTGATATCATTTTAAAATGGGAGGTATTATTTTTGAGATCTACATTATTCAAGATGATCATAAGTGTTATAATTATAACCAAGAATGAGCTTAGTCCTTTGTCTTAAATATTTTATTATTAATCATCCATTTTAATTTTTATTAATATCAAAAATAATTATTGTACATATTTCTAAAAATGTTTTGAGCATCTGCCTGACGTTGGTTGCTAAGCAACGCTTTGTTATTAAACATTCCACATCGAATTTGGCTGGAGTATATGTGCGTATACGGCACAGATATATAACAGACGCTAGTGCGTGTGTGTGTACCTGAACATGAGCTGGTAGAGCCAATCTCTGAGCTGCTGCCAGTGCACCAGCAGCAGCTCGCACACAGCGTCTAGCAGCAGTGAGAACACCTTAGTGTGAGCGTCCACGAACATCTTGTTCAGTAAGTCCGTCAGCCTCCTCAGCTGCTCCTCCGTCAGCAGCCGGCCGCTGTTCAGGTAGTTCGCCTGTAACACACGCCCTGTATGTAACGCTACGTCACGTGACACGTGTCATATTAACATCAACAAGCTCCTCACTAGATGCGTCAGGCCGTCCTTCCTCTCGGTCCAGTGTGTGGAGGCGCACAGTGCTATGACGTCATCGGCGGGGGGCGGGGGCGGCGGAGACCCCTCCCACACCAGCCGGCTGGAGCCTGACCAGGACACGCTCTATGTGGATACAGAGACAAATATTATTAATACAATAGATATACAGCAAAGAGACGTGTGTATAGTGTGAGAGCGGGCGGGAACAGTTTTTATTCTTTTCTTTTAGTTACTGATAATTTAATAAAAAAAACTGCAGTTCTGCCAATGTAATAATTTAGAACAATTACTAGTATAATAATTTATTTGCACTTAAACTATCAATTGTGAACATCTTTTTTGTTAGAACAAGTTTTTGTTTCGTTTATTTATTTATTTGTTCTAATGTTTGATGTTTAATAAATGTTTTAAAATCGACCTGCTGCTTTTTATTTATTTATTTTATTTTTATTTATGTTCGTGTGTCTGTTATGAGTGTATAGTGTAGTAGGTGACTCACGTCGTGTCTCCTGTACGAGTCCAGACTCCGCTCGCTACACACAGAGGACGCCTCCGAGTCATCGTCCCGCCTCACCTCACACGACGAACTGTCCTCGGGACTCTAAAGGAGATTAACACACATTACACTTATATACACTAGATTGTAGCTTCGGTTTGAGATATAAAGAGAAAATTATGAAGCGTGTTTAAATAATACATATGTTAAGCAACTTTCAGCAACAGACAGTGTGACGTCACTTCATACACAATCCAATTATTATTTGATTCCGTAAGAACCGTACAGAATTCCAGGACTATTTTATAATCACATCCTATGTCATATCATTATATGATCAGACATTTCTGAGCTACATCACTGTGAAGTTCCATCAGAATCCGCTCCGCAGGTTTTAACAGTGACAAACATTAAAACATCAACACAAATGTTTGCATTCATAATATAGCACTAATATTTAACACGTAGAATAGTTTGTAGGGAATCAATGTTAGGTTATATATCGAATATTTCTCTGAAGGGAGGGGGGCTTTAATAGTTAATTTGTCTTGTTGAGACAGTTCAGATTAAGCCGTTGTATGTGAGTATGGTCTCGTCATATTTTCTTTTCCGAACCGGTGGTAGTGTCTCAAGTGAGCATCAATAAGAGAGTGTAATGCTTCTATATATTGAATAAAGTTATGTGAGTATGTTCTCTTTATATGTGTAATGCTTCTATGTATTGAATAAAGTTATGTGAGTATATTGTCTTTATATGTGTAATGCTGCTATGTCTTGAATAAAGTTATGAGAGTATGTTCTCTTCATAAGTGTAATGCTTCTATGTATTGAATAAAGTTATATGAGTATGTTCTCTTCATATGTGTAATGCTTCTATATATTGAATAAAGTTATGTGAGTGTGTTCTCATTATATGTGTGTATGTGTGTATGTCTGACCCTCAGCGTGTTCTCAGCGTCCCTGGACTGCTGCAGCAGGCGGAGGGTGGCGGCGGGCGGCCGTCGGTCCACGGAGTCCCGTCGGCGGGCGAGGCTGCCGGAGCGGGCGCGGGTGGGGCTCGTCTCACGGGACCCCGCCAGCGACCGGGGGATGCCGGACGGACGGCGGCGACACGACAACGACACGGGACCGCTGCGGGATGATGGAGACGACGACCGGGACGTCGCTGAGGAACGAGAGGCACAGCTAATATATGATATATGAAGTTTTCTTAAATATCATTGAACCGGAAAAGAATTCCACAAACGTATCTGTATAATTTAAATAACATTTCTTTAAATAGGGTGTTTGAGGTTAAAGACCTCGGCATTGTTTTAGACTCTAAGCTTACTTATGCTTCTCACATTTGTTACATAACATCAAAAGCTTATCGAATGCTTGGATTTATTTTAAGAGTTGGTAGGGACTTCAGACAGTGCTCAACTTTGGTTCTGCTCTATAACTCATGTGTTCGGTCTACCCTTGAATATGCCTCTACCGTATGGAATCCTCAGTATAAAACTTATATAAATGAATTAGACTCCATTCAAAGAAAATTCTACAAACACATTTGTTATAGAGCTGTATCTTCTGCTAAAATACAACTCTTGTCTCCTCTTACTTTACGTAGACAAGCTAGAGACCAACTTTTCTTATATAAAATAATAATTAACAGTTTCGTAGATTCACCTCTCCTATTGTCTAATATTGAATTTAATTGTCCACGAATAAATTCTAGACATAAACCATTATTTAATGTGCCAATTTGTAAAATGAAAAGAACTAATAATATCTTCTTATATCGTAGCTGCAAAAATTATAATATAAAGTTTATTCAGATATTGATATATTATTCGAAAAAATGTATTCTTTTAAAAATAAAATAAATGAGATTAATTTATGTATCAATTCATAGTTTGTTTTGACGTATATAAATGTTTTGCCTGTAATTTAACTAACCGATATAGCCATTAATGCCTTCAATTTTGTTTAATGTCTTTTGTTACTTCTTTTTTTTTTAATTTTGTTTCGTTTAGTTATATTTATGTTAGATTTTATTCATAACTGCCGAAGAAATTCGTGAGTTTGCGTTTCTAATGTTTGATTTTATGTATGTTAGTCTTTTTTAAATTTTAATAATATGTGTCTAATTACCAGTGGAAACTTAGCCGGTATATGTAATTTTGTATATTCATATCCCAAAAGTTTATTGTTTGTTTCGTATAAATATAGTCGTTAAGTGATAACACTAACGTTGTGACTGAGACACTCCGGGGCGCGACCTGGACCGCACGCTCCGCTCAGGGCTGGGAGGCACCGCCGACACTGGGGAACGTTTGACGCGGGCTGGAAGATATGCAAAACAGTATATTAAGCATTCATTTCTTTTTAAAATAACCTTTTAATAAAATCCTTCAAGAATTTAACGTTTCTAGTATCTACTCGTCTACGTATGTATAATCAACATCATGTACCTTGCTGGGCGACTTCTCCCTCTTCACGGTAGCGGTAATAGAGACAATCAGTGAAGGATCATAAGTATCGTACTTTAACACCATATATAATATATCACACGTGTGTGTCTGTGTGTATACTCACGTAGACTGGCGCTACCGGCGGCGACCTTAGTCCTAGCGAGGTGTGAGTACACAGCTCGGGCGCGGGCTCGCTGGGCGGCCGCCGCGTCCACCGCCGACACCGACCGGGACGACACGCAGCCCGTGGCCGGCGAACGATCTGACGGGCACCACACACGTGAGAGAGAGACAGACAGACAGAGAGAGAGAGAGACGGACGACAGGGGGGGGGGGTAGACACACGGACCTCTCATGGCTACCGGGATGTGAGAGATGGGGGGGCGCTCCTGCGACGAGCGGCGGCGGCGGAGAGAACCCGAGCGACTCACCACCGACACCAGGCTCTCAGTGGACGCTGGACGGGGGAGGGAGACAGACAGACAAGGAGAGAGAGAGACAGAGATAGTTACCGAGTCCGGGGCCGCGTGGAATAGAACGACGGACCGTTAGTATGGAACATATAGCATTTATATTGAATTAAACTTGAAATACAAGCTCACCGGACACGCTGGCTGAAGGACTGCGCGGACTGGTGATGGTTCTGGTTCTCTCTGAAAGTTTATTTATTTATTATTAGGGAAACATACAGCATATCGAATATTACAACTTAATATAATAATCATATTTTGACACTTATGCCAGTTAAGTTTCCACTACTGTTTTTACGGGGAAGTGGACTAATTTTGATGTAACCTAAAATACAACTATTAATTAATTACTAATGAGTATTTTTTACAAGATTATAAAATTTACTTAACTATTTTTAAACAGATCAATGTGGTTGTATTTTCTATTATGACTATTACAAGATCTTAGAATAAAGAATTTTTGAAATAATTAAACTTACAAATAGGTATTGAAAAAGTAAGTAAAGCATATAGTTGACATATTACACATTAATATTAATTACTTGTTCCTTTTTTGTCACAATTTTATATCCATACATCATCACAAATTATCGCATTTATATCAACACTGTATTTTCATAATCCTCATGTCCACGTACCGGGTATCAACTGCTGCAGTCCGTCCATAGAGCCGGCCTTGTCCCTCTCCAGTTGTTTCTGCGCGGCCACGTCCAGCCGACTGAACAGAGCCTCCGCCTGCTCCGGGAACTGACTCTTGTACGACCAGAACGCTCTGACAACAACACACGTTATATATATTATAATATGTTATATAAAGCCGTAGACAGATGTAGCCGTACGGATAGTACAGTACATGTAAAGGTAACAAAGAAATAGTCGAAAACAGCACCACATAACCAAACCAATGAAATTACCAATTCATATTATTTACACTCTTTTTTGTTTGCTTATTTCACTTTGATTTTGTTTCATTATGTTTTATATATCATATATTTCGTATAATATATTTATATCATAAATAATAAAATGTTGTTCCGCTAAATAATTCGTGCATGACGTAAATGTAAATAATTGTGACACTTAGTTTTAAGATTTATCCATTGAAAATTGTATATATTTAGTGGGCACATTGTTGGAGAACCAAATAAATAAAACTATCATGACCTCCAAGCGGATGATGATGAATACACCATTACTATATAAAGGAATCACTTACTTCCTGCCGTTATTCCGGGCCGTGCTGTCAGCGTCTGCGCATGCTTTCCGTATAGCGTCAGCTATGGCTGCCTGGTGTCGGTCGAGCGCGGGGCGCGGCCACGAGCGCAGCAGCAGCAGCAGCACCTCGCTGAGCGTGGCGCGGATCTCCTTGCTCTTGTGGGTGGTGAGGTTGGTGACCAGCACCGGCAGCAGGCGCGGCGCCGGCACGTGCTGCACGATGTACCGCACGCACACCGTGCCCGCCGACGACACCACCTACACGCACACACACACATACATACAGTAGGGACTACATACATGAGATTACATCCTCACTTGTATATAAATACGGTCATATTGAACGGCTAGTGGACTTATTGTGTTTTATAAGTAACTAGCTTTCCGCCCGCTACTTCGTCCGCGTTGAATGTGGTTATATCTTGTTTCCAAGAGAACTTTTTAAAAGTCTGTGATAAAAACTATCCTATGTTCTTTCTCAAGGTGAACTCTATATCTGTACCAAAACTCATTGAAATCAGTTCAGTTGTTTAGGCGTTAAAAAGTAATAGACAGATAGACAGACAGAGTTACTTTCGCATTTATAATATTAGTAAGGATGTTTATATGATATTTTTGTTTTGCAGCGTCAGATCCGGAGTAGAACATCATCCTTCCTCTAACATTGTAACACATTTTCTTATAGGAGGGAATGGTTTTCCTTTGCTTATATAATCAGTTTATCACTCACTTTGGCTGCGTTCTGTATGAGGTTGATGAGTTCCTGCAGTATGTACAGACTGAACTGCTCCAGCTTGTTCCGCAGCACCTTGGCCATGTATGCAATGGTGATGCAGGCCTCCCTCACCACCTGGCTGCGCAGGTCCTTGATGACCACTAAGAACGGCACCGACAGGTCCTTCAGGTGCGCCGCGAACTCCGACGGGAACTGCACGTGCGCGTTCGCCGCCAACAACGAGCGGATCTTCTTCAGCTGGAATAAATACAATAACGTGGAGTTATGACTTAATTCATTTATTTCATACTGTGTCTGTGTGTGTGTGTGTGTGTGTGTATACTCACAGCGTCGACCCTCTTCTCCCAGTCGGCGGCGCGGTCCCCCAGCAGTGCGGCGGCGTGTCTACACAGGTCGTCCAGGCCGCGCGCGCCGTACACGGCGGCGGGGGCGGTGCTCGCGAAGGCCGCCTCGAACGACTCGTTGGACACCGCGCCCGCCTCGCTCCCCACACCTCCGCTGCCTCCCCCGCTCACTACAGACACACATACTGGTTACTATAGTCAGTCACGTCTACTGTGTATATCGTATCAAAATTGTTCGTTGAGGATGTTAAGAGTACAATTACTTGTCCCTGAGAAACACCACATCATAAAAGCACGCTCATATGATTTTAAATAATATATTATGTAAAGTCTCTGGTCGATCAAGGTAATGACAATACTAGACGCGCCGCTACTGATATATTTGACTACCAAACCTTTCGTGAAGATATAATGTTACCGAGCTGAAGCTTCACGGACATCTATCAACGTAACATTAGTAGTAAGTAGTATGAGACAGTATAGTGATGGTGATGAGTCGGGAGGTGTGTCACTCACCGCTGGCCGCGCTGTTCATCTTGGTGGGGGGCGGCGGCTTCCTGCTGGCTGACGGCAGGCTGTACAGACCCGCTGTGGTACGCTTCGGCTCACCCGCTGTACGGACGAACGAGGGGTACAGAGACGAGGGGGGGGGGGGGGGGGGGGAGTGAGAATTAGTATCTTGTACGAGTTATATGAACATGTATGATAGAAAGATAGAGCGAGACAGATAGAGTTATATATGTATATATGTGTAGTCACCGGGTGTGCTGGCTCCTGAAGTATCCTCTCGTCCTCTCGGCGTGGGCAGAGTGAGGGCGCGCTTCACACGAGGAGCGCAGTCCGCCTCGTCTGCTCCCAACGCTACACATACAACATATGGTTAAAGATCTTTATTCTCATAAGAACATACATAGGTGCACTTACATGAGATTAAATAATGTTACACACATTACTATTTGATACATGGAATGGTAAGTACTACTTAATATTGTCTAATATATATATTTTAAGTTTATTTTAATGATGATTCAATGAGAGAAAGTTTGAATTCCTTATTACTGATATTTTTAGACACATGATCGAGAATAGTTTTTGTTCTTGAAGTTTCACGAGTACAACATTTTTCATCAATTTTATTCAGTATCTCATACCCCGCTACATGGAGATTGGTTAAGTATTGTTCGATATTTTTGTCTGTGCACAATAAATCTAAATTAAAATCACCAAAGACAATTGACGTCTTCCTTCTTTCAGTTTGCATTGTATACACCTCAAAAAAAACTCGTAAAATCAGTGTTACCTGGTTTGTAATCACCTCCTACATCTAAAGACATTTTTGGTATATATATCCATAGACAGTGATTATAGTTTTCATGTAAATTTTCAGTTACGTCGTATTGAATACTGTTATGAATAAACATCGAAACTGCCACCTTTACAATTCTGTCTATAAAGTATGGGTATAGTTTTCTAATTTGTACTGTGTCGCATCATCAAATTATAATATGGACTGTCGGAAAGCTGTTAAGAATGCATTTAATCTCATCAAACTTTCCGGGGTTACGAATACTCCGTAGGTTAGCGTAAAAGAATTTCAAAGATAATAATTTGTTTGCGATAATATCCTTATAATAAATTGTTACGGAGTGTTGAAAGTCAGTTGTTTTATTTATGTTGTTTGTCTGTAAATGTGATTGTACGAGTTTTTTGGAGCATTTTTAACTATAATTATTTTAGGTAAACCATTTATGTATTTTAGAGCAAGGTCAGATTCACCTGGATCTTCTCTTCGCTTTAGTTCAGAACGAAGATACTTCATATAGTTTTTCTGAGCCACTGTTTGATCGGAATAAATTTTTATATTTTGTGACAATTTAGATTTATTACGTAATAGGTATTTAGGTGTATCCACATTTACAAAGTATACTTTTATCGGCCGGTTTTTATCTGGAATGTATTTAGCAAGTCTCAAACATTTTACAGGGGCATAACAATTTTCATACAATGTAATAATTTTTAATATTTCTTTATTATAATTTTTTTGTCTGATGGTATAATTTCTATTATTTACTTCAGGAATACCCATAATAATAATATTTTTTTCTCGATCGCAGCGGTCTTTAAACTCCAGTATGAGGTTTTCGTGGACAGGAGTTGGCGATTCAGCAATATGATTATTAATTTTATTAATTTTTATATCTGTAATTTCGTTTTCAATATGTTTAATTTTTTCTTGGTTTAATTTATTTTCCTTTTGTATTATTTGTAAATCTTTATTAATATTTTTATATTGCATAGTTAGATCTTCGGAAGCAGATTTGATATTTTTAATTTCATTGTTTATTCCCACCATTTCCTGGCGAATTTGAGCCATGTTTTCATTTTGAGCTTTTGCATTTCTTTCTAATAATTTTATTATGTCTCAGTGACACGTGTGTGTGTGTATGTATGTATGTGAGTCTCACCCGATGGCAGCAGCAGGCCGGCCTCCTTAGCCTCGTCGAACCTGTGCTCCAGCAGCGCCATCTTCTGTTGCGGCACGAGGTCCTTCCGCCGCAGGTCCTGCCGCAGCCTCTCCCCCACGTGTCGGTACACGTCCACTATCAGCTCTATGGCCGCGTCCCTGACCGCCCCGCTGGGGTCCCCGAGCAGAGCCGCTACTTGTGGGACCGCGCCACGCAACTGTAGCTCCGCTGCACCGTGTCTATAAACAGAACAAAACTGATATACAACTTCGACCTTTTAAGTATGGTGGTCATCATAACCAAACAAGACGTACAACATGTAACTGAAGCAACTATTGTGTTGAAAATTTCTTATATCTAAATATAAAAAAATGTAACATTATAACATTCACAAGGAAAAAGAAACCTATAGTATATAATTATTCACTGCGGGATACCTTATTAGCCAGAATATCAGAGGTTAGGGATCTTGGTGTACTTTTAGACCACCAATTATCATATCAAGTATATTACTTCTAAGGCTTATCGTATGCTTGGGTTCATCTTAAGATTGAGTAAAGAATTTACACATTGTTCCACCCTTATTCTTTTATTTAACGCATATATTAGGTCCATACTTGAATATTGTTCCACAGTTTGGAATCCCAATTATAACATCTACGTAGATAATATAGAAAGATTACAAAATAGGTCCTTAAAACATTTGCAATTTAGAGCTGGTTTATCTCATAACAAAGATATCTCTAGAATAGTCCCGTAACTTTGCGTAGACAATTAAGAGACCAAATATATTTGTATAAAATAATTAATAACATGGTGACTCTAAAATTTAATATCTTCTAAGTAACATATTATTTAAATGTCCTCGTTTTAGTGCTAGGAATAATTTTTTGTTCTTTGCACCCTCATGTACCAATAAATTAACAAAGAATGTATTTTTGTTCCGTTCTCGCCTTAGTTATAATACTAACTTCCAAAACGTATATATTTTTTTATAAAAAATTAGTATTTATAAAGGAGCAGTTCGTAATATCTAAATGCTAAATGTTTTTAACTCTTTTGTTTTTGTTTACTTTTAATTTAATTCAATTTGTTTTTTTTTTAAATTTTTGTTGTATTGGCTTTAAGTGGAAACTATTGATTTGTGTTTTTTGTTATTTTTATATTACAGTGTTTCTAAATTGTTTGTTTCCCAAATAAAATAACATGTAACGTGTAGTCTGTGTACTAACTCGTGCAGCAGCGTCCCTATGCAGGTGAGCGCCTCCTCCCTGGTGTGCGCCGCCTTGTGTCCGAGCGCGGGCGTGAGTCTCGCCAGTATGGCGCGGGGCGCGGCCGCCCTGCACGAGCTGAGGGTCGCTATACACGCGCGGGCAGACACACGCACGCCCTCCTTGGTGTCCGCCAGCCTGGAACATCACATACATATATATATTATAACCCGTCTTCTGACGTCATCGCTTCCTTTAGTAATCCATTATGTTACCTGTCTATGATGTGAGGCAGCACCGTAGGCACGTAGTGTGAAAACTCCGGGCCCATACGTTCAGCGAGGGCCGACATCACCTCCAGACCGTTCTGGGCGACCTGTTATAATGATTATAATAGTCAATAAACACACGACACGAGTCCAGAGCCCGCACCCGCCGTACACTGGGTCAGGGATAGTAATAACGAATAGACAATGGTTCATGTGCGAGACGGTTCACTGGAGATGATCGTCTTATACATATACCTGACATACATCATACAAATGATAATATTGATGGATGTTTGTTTTAAACATAGTGTAGGATCCCTGGTCCTACATGTAAGTATAACTAGTCACTGGCTCACTACTACCCCGCCTAGAGCGCAGGCGCACGCAACCGTTCTACTCCGCGATAGTCATAAGACTGCCGAGCGCATGCCACCTCCTCCAGTGTGGTACGTGAGACAGTGTATTATATCTATTGTATAGATACCTACACTACACATAGCATCACAAAAACTGTCAAACAGATTATTATATATCTTTCTATCTATTCATGTCATGAGTATATCTGATTATTCTAAGTGGATAATATCACGTGTGTATGTGAACCTTAAAGTTTCCTCCGTTGAGCCAGCCGACGAGCGCGTCCAGAAGCGGCCCGGTCAGCTCGGGCGTCAGTTCGGGCGTGAGGTCCTCGGAGCGGACCAGGCTCACCAGGCGCTCGCCCAGCTGCTGGCGGAGACGAAGGTCCGGACGAGACAGCAGCGGGAGAGCGGCCTCCAGCGACGACGGTTGGGGGTAGTGAGACATCTGCACACACACACACACACACACATATATAATGGCTGCACATATAATACACTCTACATTCATTAACACACACATATTCAGCACACATAAACAACAGATAAAATTGATAAAATCTAAAACCTGATATGAGTGACAATTACAGATGTACACAACATTCACAAAAAGAAAAAAAAATTAAACTCATTGTCTACCTGATGAATTTAAGTGATGATTAAACAACAATATACAAAATTACAAGAAAAAAAAAAATATAAATATAAATCATAGAAACAGAAACATATGACTACAGACTAACATGTTAATTGACAGATTTTATTCTTAAATCATATTAAACACTCTACATTAATTAACATATACCAACCTTGTTCTAGTACAATATTATCCGTCAAATGGCCAACGTTTGTCTCTCTGCACACAGTTTGGCCAGTTCCATATAACTGTCATGGCCTGAGTGTCTGCTACACTACACACAATCAGCACCGGATGACCACTACACTCACTGATCACTGACGACGGCTCCTTGTAAACATTTCTTACTTGTCACTCGAGATTTGTCTGGAATGAAAGTGTTATATGAATATAAAGGGAGTGCAGTGGGGCCAGAATCAGACAGACGGACGAACACAATATAACTCTAAGTTTTATTATAAGACTAGTATTTACATAAGTTGATCATTTCAATTTTTTTACAATTTGTCATAGTTATCTCGTAAGACAGTGAAGTAAATAAATTATGAATAATAATTAAATATATATTAATGAATAAAATGCTAGAGGTTTCCAGAGCTGGGAGCATCACTACACAACTACTGGATATCATAATACTAAAAGTCTGTGTGTATGTTTATTTACAAATCATAATTACATGTAGTGTATGTATATGAATTGGATCCTAGTGTAGTTCCCGCGGGATCATATCACCTGTATGACTTGTATGTGTATCCTTTGAACACTACACATTTCTTTCTAAGCCCGGTTCCGATAAAACAGTCTAGGATTAATACTTGTATTGATAAAATTCTCAGTTTTAGTTTTTGTTAGACATTTGTATATTGTATGTGTGGAATATTAATTTTACTATGACAAAGTTAAGTATATAACCATAACTGTTTTTATAATCATTACGTGTGTTCAGTTTCTTCTATATATATTTCTTAAATTCTATAATATGTTCTATAATACATTTCTTCAATATATCAAAGGACAGCTGATAATAATAATAAACATCAATCTATATATAAGAATAATGAATTCAATAACATCTCATGTAGTTTGGCCTTAACCTGGACACTGAGGTCGCGTGATGAGGGTCTGAGGGGGGGCTGGGGAGGGGGGCGGGGGGCTCGTGACGTCACACACTCACCTACAGTTGTCACAAGTTGTTAACATTGAAGTAAAGTAATTATCAATTAATGAGAGGAGACAGGACAGTTTAACGTTCATTACAACTTGACTAAGACTAGACTTAAAAGCTTTCTAATTTCATAATGATTTTTAACTACGCAATCCATTACAAGCGTGTTTTACTCGGAACTTATATTTATAAAAAAAATGACCTATGATTTATTTTTGAGTACCTATTTTCATTTCATTGGGTTAATTTTATTTATATACTATGTGTTGCCTGCGGCTTTGCCTATATTAAGTCGCCTTTGAGAAAAGCATTATTTATCTTTGAGGTTTACCTTAATTTCCTGACTTTTCCAAATAACTCCTGACTTGATAACAATGGAACTACCGGATAATTCACTTTCAATAAGAAAAATATTATTATTTTATTGGCCTATATAATAGGGTAATAATGTAACAAGCATTTTAAAAACTTCCTTTTTATGAAGTTGGTTAAAACATATCCTAAGTTATGGAATTAACTTATTTGAAGTAAAATTTTTTTTCCAAATTGAGAAAGCCGTTTCACAGTTTGTCCAGCACAGACAGACATAAAAATTTTAAAAAATATTATTGAGATTATGTATTGTATATTATCATTAATATGATATACTGAAAATTTTTAATTTGAATTTGCAAAACAGATACTTAAATTTTATGTATTATTTTTTCGGCAGACCCTGGCTAAACCTGGGAAATTGTCAGGAAGAAGAATATTTTAATACATATATCTATCAGCCATTTCAAATAAGTTACCAAACTCACTCAAACTTAATTTCCTTAGTACATAATACATATTATATGTAGTGTTCCATTTAAAGTGGTAACTGTATCAACATCAAGTTGTTTGGTGAACATCAACTTTCCATTTGCAGCTGTTCCAGATCATTCAATATATTAAACAATGTATTTTCCCAGGTCATGGAAACAATGAACTGAGGCACTTTCCTTGTGACACATCAATAATTTATTTAACAATATACAGTATTGACTATTGTATGTTTTATTAATTAGGGAAAATAGAAATATTTATCTGCCTTTCATTACAAAACAAAATATATTATTATTATTTAAAGAATTTCTTGAATGTCAGTCAACTAGTAATGAGAAACAATTACTAAATAACTGAGCTGTTTAAATACTACAAGTTAAATCATTATTTAAATGTTGGTTCCTGATAGTAACATTAATTTTTTAATGCAAAAAAACATGCAAAAATCTTCAACAGGGTAAAATCATTATTTACTGTGTCTTCTGAAGGATAAGTTCTTAAGTCCATATCTTTAAGATAACACTGTACATTACTTTAATTATCATTTTTATACTGTTTTCACAGAATTTTATCTAATTATCAATTGTATTTCCATTTTTAACTTTCCTTCATATTATAATAGTTTTTGGCCCTGACTTTGCTTTTGTTAACATAGGTATAATAAGATTTAGTGAGAAATGTATGAAGTGTGTACAAATACATGTAGTGACCGTAGGGAACATATACAGTTGGTCTCATGTGACTTCATAAATAATAAAACCAATATAGTGGATCTTACCCTATATTTTATTCCATTGTCTAAGCTACATTAATGTTAAAAGTTTCATCAGTATGTGTGTCGTTAGGTTTTTATGTGAAAGATAAAGAAACATCCATAAAAACTCTTTCAAATATAATATTAGTAGGGTTAATTAAATGTTATAGATTACATACATAGTTGTACCCGGGCAACATACTATTGATATTTATTTATTTATTTATTAAGGCAAACACAACAGGTCACAATCACATAGAGAATATTTCTTAAACATTAATAGTATCGTACAGATTATAACCCTAAGGGTGCATGCACAACATGACGGGATTGCCAATTATTATACAGGAGATAACTATATATTAGTACTAAACAGAAAAAAGACAAAAATAAAGTTACACTAATTAAATTTACAAGAAAATAAATATAAAATAATATACTAAACTATGATCAATGAACAATTATTTTCAACTGTAACCATATAAGAATGTTTTGTGTTCAACCATATGTGTATATAAATATAATAATAATACAGACAGATATGAGATCATTGATACAAACAAAGTCTAGTTTCCGACACTTTTGGTGTCATGAGGTTGATAATTGGAGACAAGAAAAGCTCTGTAGATAGATTTTTTGACTAATTTCATATTTTGAGTATCATAAACAATATAATTTTAATGTATAAAAGTTGTATTTGTATAAGTCAAGTTTATTAACAACCGTTCTAGTTCCTGTGTGGGTGTGTATCTGAGAAAACATCAAGGTTGAACTATTATTTTGATCAACTTTAAATATTGTTTGACTTAATATAATTTTACCTAACTGCAATAGAAACAGTGTTATCTTATGAAAACGTATGTATGTCTACTTGCACTCTTTACATAGCTATATATGAGTGTTGTATGTAAGTATATCAAAATTATAAAAAACAAAATGGCGATTTTTGGCGCCAAACGGGCTAATGTAATGAAAAATTTTAAGAGATGATTAGGAATGTATCAGAAAAAGCATTATTAGAAAAAAGTGTATTTTATATACAAGTAGGTGATATGGTTGTGGCTGAATTTATTCTTCTTAAACTTTACACCTCTACTATTATTATTTAGTTTAATAATTTTCAGACAGTGGTTTTGGGTAAATAAAGTTCCACATTGTTATATATATTATGGTCCTGGTTTCTAATAACTTGGATGAGGTTTCCATGAGTAATATTGTTATTATGGTCTAAATTAGTGATCATTATTGTACTGTGTTATTGAAGCTCACTATCTTTTTAATTTCTATTTACACTTATAATAGTTTCTGGATCTTTATTATAATTGTTTTAGTCAAAGTTTGTTTTTATTAATATTTGTCTTAGTCAGTATTTAATAAGGGATTATTTGATAATTTCCATGACTAACTGACTAACTAACTTAGTCTTCGCAAGTTTTTGTGGTATCACATATATAATTACTTAAAGTTGGTAGTAATGTTCACAGGTGGTTCTAAATTGTTGTTTTTTTAATTGATATTTTTGTTTGACGTCTTTTGTTGCACCAGTAATGTTGTTGTATTTTTTTACTTATTTTATTCATATCTTGCGATATTAAGGCTTCTTAGACAGTTCGGTATGCATGATTCCGACATTCGAGTTTATTGCTGGCTAGGATAATAAAGTGACAAAAGAACATACACAGCTGCACAGTTTTTACTAATTTTAGCAACTTAAAAAGTACTCTTTATTACTTAATTGTTGTCATTATTGAGAGTGGGTGTGATGCTATGTAGAGTGTATCATTGTATGGTAGACAAGCTAAACCAACCTAAGTTAAATGATTTCAACGCTTTAGAGAGTTTGTTGTTAAATCGAGTGACGTTACATGGAGTTTACACTGTATTTGTATTAACAGTACACCACAAACACTAATACAGTGAAATGTGTACAAATTAAGACACAGAAAACCATCACTTGTGTTTTCTTGTTATTGTACAGGAATTGAGAAGGTGGGATGCTGAGTTGAATACTCAAAAAATGTTACACTATAAGAACAGACAATTGACTAAAACACTCTCATAAGTCTTATATTAGAATTGGTAAAC